GAATTCATCTGACAGTAACAGCATGCTGCATGCTTACAAGATAAAGGAAATCATTTCATATATCACATTTTGAAAACCAGTCAAGTTTCCTAAACAGGACTATTTACAACTGTACTAACCACACTAGCCTATGACAGTAATATATATGACCATTTCAGAGCAGGTGGTTCCTTGCATGCTAATATGATGGAAAGCAAGCTACGTGGCTTAGTCAACCTCATGTATGCCGCTTTCTTGTCCTTAATTGATACTTTCTTCACTAACAATCGCGGTTAAAGTGATATAAGATTTAAAATTTAACAAATACTAAAGTACAGTGAACTCTCCCACACTGCTACTTCACTCACAGCCACCGCTATCCCCGTCTTGGCAACATAACATGCTAAAACACTGCAATGTTCTTTGCAGCAGAAATGGATAGTGCTCTTTATGACTTCCTACATTAACATACGAATACAGACATTTCCGTTCACTACATTCAATATACTTCAACAGCATGCTCTGTTTTTAAAAATTCTTCCAATAAACCATGCACACCAATATAATGCTTATCTCAAGTACTCACCACAGTGACTTAAACATGAACTAAACATGAGACAAGAGCAAGAATTTGAGAAGGTTAGCATCAAATAAGATAAACAAACAAAATATTGCATAAATAAAGTGTCGGTAATGTTCAATTAGGCCACGCCATAGCTCAAGCAGTTAGTTGCTGGCTTCCCACTGCGGCGGCCCGGGTTCAATCCCAGGTCTGGTCAAGTGGGTTTTGTGGTGGACAAAGTGGCGCTGGGACAGGTTTTCTCCTAGTACTTTGGTTTCCCCTGCCAATCTTCATTCCACCAACTACTCCACATTCACCCTCACCTATCATCTGGGGCTGGTACATTATGCCAGAAGTGGCCGCAGTACAAGGGACTTAGTCCCACTCCACTAGCAATAAAAAAAATGTTCAATTAAAAGATCTCCATGAAATATTTTCTTTTTTGCAGACAAAAAGTACATGTGTTACTGCACTCATTCTTACAGATGACAGAAAACCACAGGTGAAAGCTGAATCAACCTATTGTGCAAGGTAATGGCAGATTCCCATCAACCCTTGGTTCAATATACTACACTGAAATGATACTTTTCATTTTATTACACCACTTACTTGGCATTAGATATAAGGAAGGCATTGGTAGAATTTTGTGTAACACAAACTACAAACACAAAGTGTTATGTAAAATGAAACCCATATGAGAAAATTTTCCATCAAATATTTGAGCAATGCACACTGCTCACGTGGAGTTTTGCAGCAATCATCCAACCCTTGTCTAGACATAAATTCTTCCAACAGACAAATATGTGGTGTTAAAAGATGTATTAAAAATACAGCATTCTGAAAGACAGGTATCTCTTATTTCAATACTGAGGTTTGGCATGGCCACAAAATGGAACTATGAGTACTATATGTTTCACACTTCACAGACTATCTGAATTAAGTTTTTTAAAGCTTATTTATCAGTTATGGTTTCATGGCACCCCTTGTATTTCAACAAGCATCATTCTTGAACAACCTATGACTATCCATTCAAGTGATTTCAGAATGACTGTGCAGCAAACATAAAATTATGCAGAACTACAACTGATTTCTTTGGGATCCTTAAATTATAGATACTGTATAAACTATCTGAAGAAACAAGCACCAGATTTTACCACCTTGCCAGAATAAAAATGATATGCCTTTAGACCAGACGCATCATCTTCAAGGCAAGAGAATTCTTACCAGTCTTGTACATTTAACAATATGTGGTGTTGACAGTGGGTTTAAGATACATCATGGAAAAAGACATCTCTCTGTGATAGTGTGTGTATCACTGGGTACCAGCATAGTCAAGCTTCATAACAGTCTATATAGCAGACATGCATACACATGTTCAGAGGCTGGTTTCAGTGGTCAAAACGGCAACTGCGATTGAGGAGTATATTACTGAAGAGCACCATTCTATTGTGCATATTTTGTTGCCAAAAGGACTCAATGCAACAGATATTCATAAAGAAATGTTTCCTGTTTACGGTGGGAAATGTTTGTCACATAAAGTGGTTCACAACTGGGTCGAGAATTGGAGCAAACGCTTCACTGATGACAAAGAGGTTGAAACGAAGGTGCAGAAGTGGCTGAGACAACAGTCAATGAGACTTCTATGCTGCCAGTTTTGACACACTGGTAAAGTGCTGGGCAAGTATATCAATGTTGGGAGAGGATATGTCGAGAAATAAATGTTCTTTCCAGGTTTAAATATGACATGTTATACATTTTATATCAATCTGTGACCTGTTTACTGACTCTCCTTTGTAAGTTAATGGACATTCAGGCAGCTGACAGAGAATATGAGAGGGCATACATGTTTAAGAGATCGAGGAACTGGAAGAGAGGGAGGCTCGATTATATGTGGTTCTGAATGACCAAAATTTAGGTGATGACAGCAGTAATGAATCAGAGCCTGAGGGTCATGATGATGAACATCACACTGCTGATGGAGATATCACTGAACATGCATCATGGTACTATACCATCAGCCATGAATTGACTGAAAACAGCTGAAATCCTAACTGGGGGAGTCTGGAAGAGGTAGAAGAAAGATAAGAGGAAGCTGAAAGATCATCTTGGTTGCCTGGTTTTGCTGCCACAAGTGGTAATTATGAAAGCACAGTTTGTGATGGTGAAGCATCCTCCTCTATGACAGCGCCCCTTACCCATAGCCAGGAGAAAGGTTCATCACTGACACAGATGCAGGTAATGTCAGGACTGGAGGGGTCCCTTCACAACTACAGGATGGACAGGACAAAGGAACAGCCTATTACAGTAAGACAGTGAACAAGGCTGAGTGAAATTACTGCATCACCCGATGGGAACTACTTGCAATTGTGATGAAACTGGAACATTTCCATTAAGTACCTCTATGGACAAGAGTTTCACCTGTGCACTGACCACTCTGCATTAACCTGGCTCATGAGTTTTAGGAACCTCAAAATTATTCAACTTTGCAGGTACAATAGACTAATCAGTGGCCGACATGCCAAGTGGCCCCAGCTTCTGATCAACTTATCCATATAAAACAGGATACATGCTCATCTGACATATTTTATTCAAAATGACATGATTAATAATCTCCTTAAATTTGGCCACTTCCTCCCAGAACACTATGCTTATATCCCACTAGTTCACATGACCATGTTGTGTCAATAACAAAAGATGCAGAATTTGGAGACATTAGTTGTGCAATATTTTAACTAAAATTCAAATGAAGATTAAAAACAAATCATTTCAAAGCCTATTTCTTCTTAATACATACAAATTGTTTGCAGAACAAATTATTACACATTTTGTGGTTAAAAAAAAAAGATAAATTAAAAGCAAAAAGGGCCGCTAAATGAACCAGAAACACAAAAAAACAAAAAAACATTAATTGCTTGTCCTTTGGGAAACAGGGTGTTCACAGACATCTTCTCACATCATAAATGTCACACCAGGATGAATGTTACTGATGCATACAAGAATGTCGGTATTACTTTGTCTTAACCTACTATTTTAATAGAAACATATATCAAGATGTAAAATTAATACTACAAAACATATCACAAAGAATGCACTACTAATAAAAATTTATGTTGCTGATATTGCAGATATACACCTAATACACAACTATCCAGCTTGCTCTGGACTCTGTATCATAAATTTCAACACTGTGGCTGATTTCACAAGATTTGAACCAACGCTTTTCATATAAAACACTACATGTTTTGTACTTCACAGACAAGACAATCAATTAAACTTCTTTAAAAGTCTTGCCATTCTTAAATTCAGGCCACATAATGATCACCATTCATGTATGTTTTCATAAGAAATGGAGTAACTATCAAGAGAATTCTTCCTGGATCTACGAGTAATATCATGAAATCCAGTAAAAGTTCACTTATGTTTCAAAGGAACATACTCTCTCCATCTTCAGGGTTGAAAAGTAAGCTAAGCAATAATCCAGCAAGAAGTAGCCAGCAAGCAGAGCCACCTGCTTCTTGCTTAACTTATGCTTCAACCCCAAAGATAAAGGCAGTATATTCTTAAGAAACACCAGTGAACTTCTATCAAATTACATGATATCACATCTGAAATGGCAGCACTCTTCATAGTTTATCAAGTTCTTAAATAAGTTTAGAACAGGATCTTCCTCCTGATCATCATCATCATCATTTACTGTGTAAATTTCAGCTCAGTCATCGAGTTCATCATCATCGTTACCACTTTCTGAATCCAAACTACTTTAAGAATTGTTAGTATGTAATGCCTCAGTCATGTCTTCCTAGGAAAACATGGCCAGATTCTTCTTACTAGTTGGTATCATAACTCTCATAATTTAGAGCTGGACACTGAGACTACTGAAAGACTGAAGTGGACTGTGGGTATCCCACATGACAAGAACCCACAAACAGAAACAAAGGGTGCTGCTTCAGTGACACTTCTTTCTCTGAAAACTCAGGCACCATATTGAGGGACATACACAAAGTGAATCCTGACGGCGGCATACCAATCAAAGCAGATATTCAACACACTGATCTCAACATATGGTCATATGATTACATGAAGAAATTGCTGCACTGACAAACTTATATTTCAACTGAAAAACAGTCACGGCTGTCAAGTAGTACCTCTAATGGTTTTAGAGGATACTTCTTGGGTAGCTGAAACTCATCTAAATATGAGCATGAAAACATGATCAAAGTTCAGGGTTTCCTTTCTCATTATATATAGGAATAATTTTAATTTGAGCCATTATTCTTCATTTAAAAAACAAATGCATAATGGTATGGGTGTGCTAATCATACAATCTATGCAGGACAACAGTATGTGATGTTCTGCTTGGACATATATCAGAGAGGCTTGGAAGGATTTCTATTCTAATAAAATAACAAAATCAACCAGCAAAATTCTAAGAAAGAGATAACTGAAACCAAAATCTTACCTTTCATTTGACTAGCATCTGGTCCTGCTAGTTTTCCCTGAGCCTGTGCCAGATCTAGAGTAGTTCCAAGTGACACATCTGTACTGTCTTCCAGTGGCTCTTCCATTGACAGCAAATGTGGTGATGGACTGCATGACTCATTGTCTCTAGGTTCCACCTTGGGTGGGAATTCAGGTTCATTTGGCTGCTGAGGATGTTCCCAAGGTTCCACTGATGATGTTGATGGATGTCGGGAACGAATAGGACGAGAGGTAGGAGTAAGGGCAAGAGGAGTATCAGGCAGAGGTGGAGACTGGGATTGCTGCAAACTCCTCTGACGTTTTACAGGAGGTGGACCATCCTGTGAACTCTCTTGTGAGGATACCAGAGCACCTTTTTTAGTGCAAACTGCCATCTGCAAAGAGTAGGTGAATCATTGGATACAGGAATCAAAAATCACAAAGAAAACTTAATTTCATATACAGTCTACTTAAAACTGGAAGAACACTTAATAAAGCATAAGACAGAAAAAGTATTGGTAGACGATAAATTAGTTTTCAAAATGTACATTCAAAAAAAGGACTTCTTACTGAGCAAGGCTATTTGCCACAGAACAGAAGTCTGCAGTGAGGATCATTTACGTGATGCTGTCAAACATCAGTGCTCCTGTAGACCTTTTCTCTGCTAGGTGCACATTCCTACCTTATTTACATTATTTGCAAACTTCTGCATAACAAAAAAAAAAAAAAAAAAAAAAAAAAAAAAAAAAGCACGAAAGACAGTGAGATTCAGTGCACTTAACCCTGACATCATGAATATTCTTAAATAATGATGGCATAAAAAGATTATATATATATAAATTTAACCTTCTCAAGTGGTCCAGCACCTGTATCAGCATCAGTGTGTTAGTAATGGAGAAATAAGAATTAAGGCAAACATAGTGTCTTATGTTAATGACTAGACACGGTTTGAATTTATAACCGGACTCACTGAATGCTCATGACTTGTAGCTACAAGCAATTATGACACTCTCCCTAATCTAAAAACTCTACAGATCACTAAAGCACATATTAAATTTTCTGTTTGTTATGTCTTCATTAACTGCAGCTAAGTAGGGGCTTCTAACACCAGAGATTCCTCTATTTCTGCCCTCATGGCTAACAACCAACTATGAGTGCTAACTCACTATTATATGACTGGGTCAGTCAGGTAAACTGCTGCTGACCCTTGTCAGCATTGTCATTCCTGGTTCCAAGTCCCACAGGACTCAAGACCAAATTTTACTGCCTGGCAGTTCTGACTGACTGCTGGTTTTCATTATATAACCTCAGCATGGACAACGCAGAAAACGCTGCTTCCAACAGTTCCTCTATTGTTGTATTTGTTTCCACATAAATGTGTTTACAGCGCCTCTGCCTAGCAATGGCTGTCTCTTCTTGTTTCACTACTCCAGCATTCATCCATCATGTCACAATATACATATCTGATCCAAAACCATAGTATTCATACAAGGACAGACTATATGATGGCTTCAGTGTCCACAAAGATAAATCACTACAACACACCAAGTTGTCTAACCTTCAAGATGAAACAAACAAACAACCCTACTCACTCTGCAAGTGCCCCAGGGAGTAATTTACATACTCATAACAAATGGTCGCACATTTTGCTTCATCATGTCACCGAATAAAATTATACAGAAAAGGGGACTGACCAAAAATGAAATCATACATGGCAGAGATTTCAACACTCACATAATGTATGTTTCAGATAATCAGACACTTACCAGAAAAAGTTCTAAATTATTCAGTCCAGAATTTAAACGATGCTGCTTCACAATATTTCATAGAGATAAACACAGAAAAAAAAATTAAATGTATGTATTCCATTGGGAAAGAACAAACTCCAAAACAAAATATGTATTAACAACAAACTACCGGAGCAAGTTAGAATGTGCTTAAATAAGCCCCTTGCCATAAATATGTATGGAAGAGTGGAGCTAAGTTCTACTCATTCTTAACCTCAACACAAGAGGCAGGCAAGTGGTCAGATTCATGCCCTGGCTCCTTTACCCCCATGCAAAGAGCCCCCACTGACAACTAATAGGAGGTTCAGTGGGCCCCAGAACCAGTAGGAGACACTGTGGAGAAGGGAGGCTCTCTTGCCTCTGCTGGGAATCAATCCCCAATTCCTCAGATCTCTACACTGTAGCCAAATCTCCGTACCAACTGAGCTATTCTAGCTCCCCACTGGAACATTAACATTTGTAGTTATCTTATGAAGGTTTCAGACATTTAAATTTAAAAATTATGTTCATAATTAGTGTCCACAAGCCATATCTTTGCACCATTTTTAGTTTTAAGACACACAATTGCTATGGAAAATATTAACACATCACTGTGAACATATGCCATAAGAAGACTGACAAATCAAGGTTAATATAACTGAACTGTACTTCACGTGACTGACAATAAAAGAAATAAAAAAGCTGTAAAAGAATTTCAAATTTCACCAAAAATATATTTTACATAAACACTATAAATAAAATTAGAATAAGCTCTGAGAGGATCGAACAAAAATATATAAAATCTCAACACAATGTACGAAGACCTTAAGACTGGATTAAAAATCTATACAAATATTCTGATCTGTAACACCAACAATTGGCTCAGTAGGCCCTGACTCTTGGAAGAATGATAACAATAGAAATATTAAGGATGACAACACTGCATTTTATTGTATAACTGCTTCTATTCATTCATTCATTCATTCATTCTCAGTAATCTGTCAAGATGACAGGTCCACAGTCTCTTCCAAAACAGTTCCTCCACTTGATGCTATCTAGAACTTTCTCCTTCAAATGAAAATACCCTCTTCTGTCCCAAGGTCATGCACCATCCTCTTCCTCTTCCTCATCTTCTGGTCATTTCTATCCGCCCCTCTATCTTTCCTTCAATAACTTCTGTTAGAAGGCAGTTACCGCGTAAGATATGACCAATCCAATTAGCCTTCCATTTTCTTATTTCATGTACGATATTCCTCTGCTCACTGACTCTAAATAACACATCTTCATTTCTCACATAATCGGTCCAACTGATCTTCTCCATCCTTCTCCAACACCACATTTTGAAGCTTTCCAGATGTTTCTGATCCACTGCCTTAAGTGTCCAAGTTTCAGCCTCATACAAAGCAATGCTCCAAATGTAGCATTTCACTAGTTTCTTCCTCAGATTTAAGTCCAATTTGCTGGTAAAAAGATTCTTCTTCTTGCTAAATGCAGCTTTATGCATTACAATACAATACAGTATGATTAAATGCAATCCAATGCACAGTGAAGAGAACTCCATATCTGTCATGTAGAAAGAAAGCAATGTGCACCTCACTTGTAGGTGGTATGGATAACAGAAACAGTGAGTACCTTCTCCTTAACCTGCTCTGAAGCACCAGAAAGTCCTCGAATCTGTAATGTTTCAGCTGCTCGCAATAAAGCTGGTAGGTTATCTTGTTCAATGTTCACTTCTCCTTTATACACAAAACACAGGAGAGATTCAAGCTCTGTGAAATGTACATCCTGCAGAATAATGACTGGATGCTGGCATGGATTGCTCTGAAACCACAAAACAGCCAAATTAAATTCAGATCTTTAAATACTACCAATATTTTACACACAAATCTGTCAAGTAATAAGCACAATTACAGTGCAGTCACATTTTATGTGAGGTTCACACAATTCAAGACAAGTTTTGAAGACCACAAGTGAGTCCTGCCAATTTTGGTGGAATTCATATTTTTTTAAACTTTGCACATAAAGTGAGGCTTTATTAAAAACTTTTATATCAAACTATTCAAAATCTGCATAATTCAAATATACAAAAAATATGACCGCACTATATACATTACATTTATAATTCCTGTTTCTATGAGCACGCCAAAAGCTACTTTTTATGCCATACTTTCTTCTAATAGGAGGTTCTGACTCTCATCATGCCATCCAAATAGTTAAATGATAACTGGCCAATTAATTCAAAAGTTATTAGGAGCAGAATCACACTGCATGTCTCTTAAATGCTTCTAGCAGCCGAAATAAAAATCTAAAGCAACAGGAACTTAGTTCCTGCTACAGCCACAGTAGGTTGAAAATACCTGTCAGGAACACTGAAAAACAGGGGATGTGGTAAGCTATGTGGACTTTACATCCCAGCAGTGGACAACGTGAAACTGTTTTCAAAACCTAATACTGGTACAAGACCTACATGCTTGTAAAGTATTGTAGCATGCAGACCTGTTGCTAGGCAACAACTGCGAAATAAGTAACTATACAACAGCCGTTGCTTCGTAATTACTCCACAAACAAGCATGTCTCCACGGCAACAACAGAATACAGCAATGATGTAAGTGGGGTTTTCTATGCAATCCATGCCAAGATGTTATAAGTGGGGTTTGTTAGCTGTTGCAGTTAGTCGATCTAGCTTACAACCATTCAAGTGATTAAGTTGCTGTTGTAGCATAAGATAGAGGACTTGTACATAGTGCACAAGGATGAATTTTCAATAACATGCTATATGTACAATACGTACACTTGAAAAACGCAAAGCCTATTCATAAGAGACAAACCCATCCACCCATCAGAGAGGGTGTTACACAGGGACTATGACCACAAGGGTTCAGTTGAAAAAAATCTCTGGTTGTGAGCCTCAAGGGGTTTGGCACCAAAACAAACTAACTGGCAGTAAACCACCAGTCATAAAGTAACTACAACTGTATGACTATGACTCTTGCAGTTAGTGAAGAGGGAGTGAGTTCTCCCTCCTCTGGTTTCCCAAATGGTCACCAGCCTCAGCTACCAGCTTCTCACAGCAACAGCTCACAACAACTGAACCGCAGGAGTTCTCTCACTAACTCACCACTCAACTCACTCAACAAGTCAGAGTCAAAGTCACACTGCGACTGAGGGTCAGTAAGTCTTGGTATTGAGCCCCAGCTGGGGCTCATGACCAGATATTTATTACCCTTTGACAGTTAAGGTCTTGTTTTTGTGGGGCGCCCTCTCTGACAAGAGGACGGGTCTGTCTTTTGTATATGCAGCTGGTCCTGGCTAGCGCAGTCTTTCTTGATCTGAGTCCTTTGGGACTCGCAACCATATTTTACTGTCTCAGATCTGAGACTTCCTTTTCATCTCCTCCTACGACTCACAGGGTCACGGTGGAGGTATTTGAGCCCACCTCCATACGGGTTACTCACTCAACAGCTAACTGGCCCTGCTTATAACATTTCAGCACAGAATGCATAGAAAACAACACTGCCATTATTGCTGTATTCTCTTGCTGCCATGAAGATGAGCTTGTCTGCAGAGCCATTAGAAAGCAATGGCTATTGTATAGTTTATTTCGCAGTCATTGCCTAGCAACATGTCTACATGCCACACTGTTATCAATAAGAGCTGTGAATACTGTTTCCATGATATAATAGAAAGATTACATATAAAAGATGACATGGAGTAAACTAAATGGAAACACACAAGATAAAAAATTATAAGGAAAAGTAATCAAATTTCATAACATATTGGATGATGACACTTCTGTTAAAATTGGTATATTCATCAGTGATCTTACTCGACATAGGAAAATGTAGAACAGGATACAAATCAGTATCTGTGCATTTAAGTGAAGTGAGAGAAATGAAGACACAAGCATGAAAACACACAGACAAGCAACATCAACTACCGACAGACAACACACGTCAACAACATCCCGAAGCAAAAAGATTGGGCCAAGCGGGAAAGAATTCTAGGGATTTTAAGAATTCTTACTTCAAATAACGAAACATAATTTTACAGAATTAACGACGAATCAAATAAGAAAGCTACTGTGGTGTGTGAAAAACTTTTAGTGAACCGACACTCTGGGTAATTTTAACTATTTGTAATTATTTTAATTAACTGGAACGTGGCTATCTTGGACAAAGTGAAGTTTTGTGTGTTGGTGATTTCTTTTTCTACTATAAATGCCTCTGATGATGGCTCCGTGGTGAGCCGAAACATGTAAGGCAGGTGCTGACGAGGTGGAAAACTTAAAAAAGTGTCACATTTGACGGAAGGAACTTGATTGTTAATTAGGATGTTAGACAAATGCCACATTAATACATGTAAAGAAGGGGGCTAAGTCATTTAATTATAAAACTACAGCTGGGATAAATCAAGTGCATTAGAGATGATAATACTGTCAAAAAGGAATTAAGTCCTTTAGACAAAAGGATGTTACACTGACACCAAGAGCTAATTTCAGTGGTGACCACAGACAATTTAATAACCATTTTTAATTGAATTGAATTGAATTGAATTTATTTACATTCTATAAATCCTAAGCAGGTTAGTACCATTGGATACAGAACAAGTCAAAATGTTACATACATAAGTACAGGCAATTTTAGCTTAAAAATTAATATAACTTAATTTTACATCATTCTCTATTTACATTGAAGTATTCATCTAAAGAGTAGAAGGAATGAGCATGTAGATAATTCTTTAACTCTGATTTAAACTTTTTAGTATCATTGCCCAAGTTTTTAATACTTTGTGGCAGATTGTTGAACACTTTTATGCCAGTAAAGTAGACTCCTTTTTGATATACTGATAAAGTTGATGAGGGTAGGTGGAAGTTGTATTTTTGTCTAGTATTCATGTTATAGACATCAGAATTTAATTTGAATTTATCTTTGTTGTAAACAACAAATAAGAGAAGCGATAATATGTATTGCGATTGAAGAGGTAGAATTTTTAATTTCTTAAATAATTCTCTACATGAATCTCTACTTCTACATCCTGTAATGATTCTAATTATATTCTTTTGTATTTTAAAAATTATTACACTATGTGAAGAGTTCCCCCAAAATATTAATCCATAGTTCATAATAGAATGAAAGTAGGCATGGTAAACCATCTTCAATGTTTCCTGTGACATAAAAGGCTTAATTGATCTCATCGCATAGCAAGCTGCATTTAATTTAGGTATAATTTGTTCAATATGTATTTTCCAAGACAGTGTACTGTCTACATGTATTCCAAGGAATTTTGTATCAAGTACTTTACAGATTAATTTGTTGGCATAACTGATGTCCAGATCAATTTGGTGGTTGTTTTTAGTTGTGAATGATATGTAATGGGTTTTATCAAAATTTAATGAGAGTAAATTGGCTTCGAACCATCTGTTTAAGGCTTCAAATACAATATTTATGTCATTTTTAAAGTTGTCAAATTTAGAGTTCTTAAATATTATACTAGTGTCATCTGCATATAGAATTGGTTTAGATTTATTGTTGATGGTTTTAGATAGATCATTTATGTAGAGAAGAAAAAGTAAGGGACCTAAAATTGATCCTTGTGGAACACCGTGCTTTATAATTCCCCAGTTTGAAAATGCATTATGACTGGAGTTTTTATTATTTATTTCAACTCTTTGATACCTGTTTTTGAGGTATGATTTGATCCATTCATTAGCTTTGCCAGTTATTCCATAGAAATTTAATTTCGATAGTAAGATATCATGATTAACACAATCGAAAGCTTTTGCTAGATCACAGAAAATCCCTCCCACAATTAATCTGTCATTGAGAGCACTTAAAATATCGTTAGTTAGTTCATAGGTTGCTTTTTCTGTTGTTAGGTCTTTCCTAAATCCAAATTGCTCTTTGACTAATATGTTGTTAGAATTTAAGTGTTCAAGTAGTCTATTATACATAACTTTTTCAAAGACTTTTGAGAATGAAGTCAATATGGATATTGGTCTGTAATTAGAGATGCATTTTCTCTCTCCTTTTTTAAAAAGTGGTTTCATTACAGCGTATTTTAAGCGTTGAGGAAAAGTACCTGATGATAAAGATTTATTACATAGATGATTCAAGGGTGAACTGATGTAAACAGAGCTTGCTTTAAGTAATTTGGTAGAGATTTCATCATATCCATGTGAATTTTTGGGCTTAAGGGATTTAATAATGTTTTCAATTTCCTTCCTTGTTGAGAATTTGAGATTGATATTTGGAAATGAATTGTTAAAGGCACGAGACAGATAGTATATTGGATTATTATTATTATTATTATTATTATTATTATTATTATTATTGGAATATGTTTTCTCAGCTAATGAAAGGAAATATTCATTAAATGCACTTGCGATAGCTTGTGGATTGTTAGTGGACTTCCCTTCAATATTCAAACTTTGTACGTCTTCATTAACAGATTTCTTTCCTGATTCAACTTTCACAATATCCCAGGTGGTTTTAATTTTATTGTTTGATTTTAGAATTTGGCTGTTATAGTTATTCTGTTTGGCTTCTTTAATGACTTTTGACAAAATTTTACAGTACATTTTGTAGTGACTTTTTAGTCTTGGATCATTACTGTCCCTACTGGCCAAATATAGTTGTCTTTTGTGTTTACATGAAGTTTTTATTCCAATTGTTATCCAGGTGGATTTGTTTTTATTTTCATTTTTGACTATTTTTAAGGGAAAGCTTGAATAAAAGATCCTCAAGTATGTGTTCAGAAAGCAATTAAATTTAGAATCAATATTATTGCTGTCAAATACATTGTCCCACGATTCATTACTTAATTTTGTGACAAAATCTGCCATCGTATGCTTGAACATTAAGAACATTATAACTCACAGATCAGCTTCCAAAACTCTTTTCAGAAGCAAAGTTATAAAACTGAAAGCATCAAGAAAAAATGCATAGAAAGACTGAAGAAATACCTACCTAAGAATAAACTTAACTGATAAAATCTGAATGAAATATTTAGATCAACTCCAGTAACCAACATGGAAGCACTGTGAATAGCAGAAGTAGATAAACTCCCTGGCAGAATAAATGCTTACCAGAAGCAATACAGACAAAAATGGAGCATGGAGGATTTGATTTACACAAAACAGAAAATAATTAAGCATCAATTTAAGGTTTTAAATTATGCCAACAGAAATGATGGGAATAACAATAAAATAAGAATGGGAAAACATATGTTAATACTCTAGAAAATTATAACAAAAAATTAATTTAAAAATAATCTAAAGGGCCCGTCACGGTAGCTGAGCGGTCTAAGTCATGCACTGTCTTCATTTGCTTGGAGGCTGGGACCATGGGTTTGAATCCCACTCACAGCATGGATGTTTGTTGTTTGTGTGTGTGTGTGTGCCTTTTTCTGTGTTTGTGTACAGGTAGAAGCCTTGTGACGAGCTGATCACCCGCCCAAGGAGTCCTACCAAATGTCTGAGATGTAGTAAACTGAAGTCCAATGGAGAGTTCCATTAAGGTAAGCCAAGGCCAAAATTAGGGTTGTAGTGCCAAAGGAAAAAAATAATCTGAAGGAAGAAAAGGGATAAATGTAATGAAGTTATTAATGAAAATAGAGAAACAGGATGGAATGAGATAAATGGCATGCTAGGTTTGCAAATATTACAAACATTTAAGGGAAGGAAAGGTAAAGAACAGAATATCATGATTCTAGGTTGGCGGGTTAAAATTATCCCTGTACTTAATTATATAATTAAGTGCTATGCCATGAAGTCATATGGTGGAATGGAGGTATAGAGCCACCATTAACCTCAGAAATGGTGCAAACAGTGACTATTTAACCTTTAAACGACTAAAGACAACGTATGTCATCGCAAAAATAAAGGCAGCGGTACGAATGACGCCATATGGGGTCGCACAGTCCGCGCGTGCGGACGTTATTTGAAATACATTTTTAAGGTAGAAAATAATGTCCTACTTATATAATTTTTGGCCACCATCTGCATGGAGTGTCTGTCTTCCCACCTGCATCATCTGCNTTTATCACAGAAATTGCAGAAATAGGAGCAAATTTAGTAGATGATTACAGTTTTTATGGCTTTATAATCGCGGGTATTTAAATTAATTCCGTACCGCTGCCCTTACAGGAATTTAAATGCCCGTAGGATAAAGGTTAAGAATTATAAATATATGCAGATGTCTCACTGTGGGCAAGCAAAGAAAACATGGAACACATGTTAACAAGTCTAAGTATAAACAAGCTCCATGACAGTGAAATGAAAGGATTCATGAACACTGTCAGCACAAAATAGTATAATCTTTCACCAGTACCTGAAACACTTTTCTAAAAAATGGACTGCAAGCCGACAAAATGACTTTGTGAGCTCGAATACATTGACCATCACTAGCCAATGTAACATCAACAAGTCCTTCTTCTTCCCACAAATTCTCAAAACTTGTAACAATATTGGACTGGAAGCTGTTCCACTTCAAGCAGATTTGTTGTCCTGCCATTCTTTAAAATGTGTTCTGGAAAGAGAATTATGTTTACAGATGTAATTTTATGCTAATAAAAGGAAATACATTTCAAAATGGAGACGGAAAAGGATAAACAAAATGACAACTGAAAACTGCATTCACGTCTAAATGCTAATTCTAATCTTATATACTCTCTGTGATTGTCAAGCAGCATCAGACAGCATATAAAACACCATTTCAAACAGTTCCTCTATTGTTGCAAGTTGATTTGTTGCTGTGGAACTGTGTTTACTGGCCTAACAATGGATGACTTATCTTGTTAAGCTATTCTGCCATGTCACAATAATTAATACCAACAGCCTTATGTTTAGAGGATGAGATGGGCAGGGCATGTAGCACTACACATAATTATGATAGTCTCAATAAGATAAACACTTCAAAGAGCATTGTAACTACAGCACACATAAAGTCTTCTAAGTCTTCACTAGCCAATGCTTGGTAGTGGCTTCCAACAATGGATATCCCCCTTCATTTGGGTTCCCAAACTGTCTCCAGCCTCAGCTACCAGCTTCTCACTTCTCATAACTGCAACTCTCCACTGAATCAACCAACCACTAGACCAGTAACCCTCATTATACAAGGTTCTATCAAAAGATCCCAGACTGTTATTGTTGTGACTGCCTCAGTGAAAGAAGATGAGAGGGGATGAGAGATTTATGGTTATGATCTAGAAACAAAGCAATAATTGTCGCAGTGGAAGAGCTAACAGTCACCAAGACCCATCTCAATGTTATCCTTCATCTTTCCAGTCTCCCAGGTGAACATTTCCTCAAGAGGTTTCCTACACAGAATTGCATGTGCATTCCTTCTGTCACCCATCACACAGCCACAAGCCTAGCCCAGCACAGCCTCACAGGCTTCACTAACTAAACAATACTATATAAACTAATTCCATGGAGCTGAGTCCTTCCTGAGAAGCCAACAGTTACTCAGCTACACTAGAATTTCCCAACATTTTATGGGACCTCAAAGATCATTACTGTGTTAACAAGGGCCCACCACTAGTTCTCTATCCTGGACCAGATGAATCCAGTCCAAACCACCCTATAGTGTTCCTCTAAGATCCATTTTAATATCATTTATGGCAACTTAATCCTTACTGTACAGCACACACAAAAGAAACTTGTTAGAAGCATTAAACAAGGGGCAGACACATCAGTATCCTTCACACAATACCTTGTATCACAGGTTAAGTTTATTGGAGTATATCTTCATAAGATGGTAACCAACACAGTGTGTTATAGAAATAACTTTAGTTATGGACAGTATAAAAATGCAAGTAACAGGTTGGGAGGGTTACACAAGTTAAATTCAGATCTGGGGTTGTGATGGCACTGAAGATTTGGATTGCAGTTTTCTGAATTTTGACACCATGTAGTCTGGTAAGTATTCACTTGTGTTTCAGAAGAACTTACTGTCTTCACCTTCTCTGTAGATGAAGGCAGGATACTCATTTGAAACATTAGCAAACCATTTACCATGCTATACAATGTCGAAATATGAAGATAACAATCAAACTTAGATTTGTTTATAGTTTAAATAATGCTTCCGTTCTGATGGAACTAAATGTGATCATCATGAACTTGTTCCACAAAGCTTTGTTTATAGTTTAAACAATGCTTCTGTTCAGATGGAACTAAATATGATCATCATAAACTTGTTCCACAAGTTTTCTATTTGGCATAAGTTCTCCATCACATAGTGATACAAACAGTAATAACGGAAAAATATAACAATCCTAATTTCGAAACTCGTCACACAAATGACATGTATTGATACAAAACTAATTATGTGCCTTGAACTGACAGTAGTAATCAATGAAATGTACAACATTACTATATCGGTACTTTGTCTGCAGTATTTACATAATGTCAGAAAACCAAACAATCGCGCAAATCAGTTATCATATTCTTCAAGCCCAATACTTTTCATAGCAAAAGTTCTTTCCTCTCTTCCCTTCCTTTTGAAATAATGGAATAATAGTGAATCAGTTCTTTATCAGAGTTTCTATTCACAAAATAAACTTGTGTCAAACATCAATCAAACTGTTATTACAATTTATTTATACGTACATCGGTTCCCTCAATACGCATTAACTCAAAAAGAATATAATTCAAATTTCACGAACCAATTGCCTGCCATTCCTAACACTTCAACAAAATACTGGTATCACGGATTACTAAGTATGTACATCACTGTCGATCACTGTTACCACTGTTACGGTTTCACCCATTCGTTTATGTACCCTGTGGTGGTAAAGCTGAACACTGCCTGCGATCTACTAATATACAGATTTACGACTTTATTTACATGACACAGAATTCAGTCCGATTCAGTCTACCTTGTCCGGAGCATTGGTAAGGTTAAGCTGTCCCCGTGCTTAATTAACTAAACACTATGCCATGAAGACGTACGTAGGAGTGGAGGTATGACTCCATCATTCTTGACCTAAGCACTAGATCGAAATGAATGGTGAGCTTCACGACCCGGCCGCTTTACCCCCGCGGAAATCGCCCACAGTACCCATTGAATACAAGACTGGGTGGGTCCCAGAGCCAGTCTAGACCGTCTAGACGCTATGAAGAAGTTAAAATCTTACCCTGCAGGCAAAGAACCAGGACCTTCCACCCAGTAGCCAGTCGAAATACAGATAGAGCTATCCCGACACCTCCTCCGGATCACTAGCCGATAGAGAAAACTTCTTACTATTATTATTCTACAATTCAAGAATTAAGCTCATGGCCTGCTTCGGCTTCTGTGACTTCCATTTTCTGCATGGTCTACCAGGATCTTGTCTTCCTCCTTCCATCCTTTTCACACATTCAAGACAATAGCGAAAAAAGAGGAAGAAATATTATCACGGATTGTATACACACTATATTAAGGGTAGATAATTAATTTTAATATCGCCGGGGGGCGGGATATATTGAAGTGACCGCGGTGCGGATATCTCGCAAGGAAAAAAATTAACAATTACTAAACTGTTAAAAGAGTTGCCAATTATTCGTTCTCAAAGCCGGCGCGATACCACAGGCGAATCAAGAGGATGCATGAGGTGTTACATTTTACAAACACTTCTTTGATCAATAAAACCCAATTCTGCTGATCTTTCATTCATGTCATGACCACTAATTGGTAGTAAAGTAAACGTGTAATGCAACAGTGTAAAGTAAAACCTTCTAATAACTGCGACATCTATGACGGTCGTTGGGGCGGGTTTTCTCCGAGTACTTCGGTTTCCCCTGCCAATCTTCATTCCACCAAATTCTCCATCATCATAATCACCCGGAGCAGGCTACAATAGGCCAATCAGTGGCCGCCGTGCCTAGTGGACCCAGTTGGACTCCAAACGCCACTAATTGAATCTGAAAATTTCGCGCGGTTATTTGCCCCGAATTTTTGAGAAAGTGGATCCCTTTTTGCCCGAAGGGAGAAGGAAAGTAACGGAACTTATTGTCGTCTGGGCAGCGTGGGGCTTTCGCCAATTGCGCTGACTGAACATAATTTATAGATTCATTAAAATATGAAAGAACAATATTAATTTTTCTTTTGTTCCAGGGGTGAGTAGGACCAAGTCCGTTGGTACTGCGGCGTCAAATGGACTTACTGTACCAGCCTCGGGTGAGTATGGAGAATTAACAGCAGTTATAAGAGTAGTAGTAGTAGTAGTAGTAATAGTAATAATAATCCTGGGAACATCACACATACTACAGAAAGTGCTACAGTGTGAAGCTTGAAGCCTGAGTGGTGAGGCGCATCACTGGTTCAAGAAAAAAAAAACAGGAATACCAGGAAATAAACCTGTGACAAGAGATGATGATGATGATGATAATAATAATAATAAGATGAAAATACCAAAATGCCCTGCACCCTTGCATGTTTTGTATCATGGATCTCATCATGGGCGCTGCCAGGATCTTTTCCAAGGGAGCAGACAGAGAATTTGCTTACAAACTTAACATTCAAGCCATTTGTGAACAATTTTTGGATCGTTGTAGGTCTCTATGGGATAAAAGAATAATTTTAAAAAATAATTATAATTTTTAATATTAATCTTTTGAAAGTTCCTTCTCTTTTAATTTTAATTCTTCCCAAAAAAAATTGGGGCTGAGCAGATATCTGCCCTTCCCCTTCCTTCCCCAGCCGGCTCCACTGAATCTCACATTTGTTTACTGTACGCAATCAATGACGGATCTAGACTCCCATATTATTATGTGATATTTTGTAGGTTGGTTATCACATAAGACAGGTTGCATATGTAGCACTCTACTGGCATGTAATGAATGGGACGGCACAGCCCTAACACTCTAGACTCCTGGTCGAGAGATGCTCAATTCTAGTCTTTGTTGAGACACGGGCTATCCTGACTGAGGTTTTCCATTAAGTTTCCTTAGTCCCTCTTGGAAAGTACCTCAACATTACCTCGTCTAGAAAATGATAATTTCCTTCCAAATCATCATTAATCTAGTATCCTACCATTTGACACTACTAGCTTATACCAACGTTGTACAAAACCCAATGGAAATACTGCATCTGAGGTTCTCACTGGGGGTCTGTGAAGAGTACCGTTTTCTGGGTTGTAAACCCATGTAGTTTAGAGAGAGATCAACATTTGGGAGAAACATATTGCATCCATCTTCAGGGTCTAAAAGTAAGTCAAGCAAGAAACCAGCAGAAGCAGGTGACAGGCTGAGCTCAGCTTGCCAATTGCGTCTGCTTCTGACATATCTTGCCTACAAGATCAGGGAAAAAGAAAAGACCAGGCATGAAACCGGTATAAGCAGGAGGAAAGCTGAGCTCAGCTTCTCCCTGAATTTTTGGAGGAAAATCGAAAATCAAAAAAGAATGAAACACACTAGATATAAATACTAAATTGTTACTATAGGATTCTGACAATGGTGTATAACACACAGAGATACTGGGTTTTCCGAAAACCCAATATCTCTAAATATTAAAGCATTTTATACAAGGTGTGGCAATAAAGAAACCGGATTCATGCTCTAACCCTTTATTAAAAAAAAATCAGACAGTCGAAATGTTATCCCCTTCAATGTAGTCCCCTCCCCGATCCCTACACCGCTCCATGCGAATTTTCCACTGTTGGAAGCAGTGCTGCAGGTCATCTTGTGTTATGCTCTTCAAGAGTTGCGTCGCTTTTGCTTTCACTGCATCCACGGACTCGAACCTGGTCCCTTTCAGCGCAGACTTGATTTTTGGGAAGAGAAAAAAGTCGCACGGTGCTAGGTCCGGAGAATACGGTGGATGTTCCATCACTGGAATGTTGTTTTTTGCCAAATACCTCTTCACAGATAGCGCGTTGTCGTGATGAAGAACCCATGAGGCATTCTTCCACATGTCTGGTCTCCTTCGTCGCACACGTTCACGGAGGTACGTCAAAACATTTTTATAATAAACCTGATTGACAGTCTGACCTTCAGGCACCCAATCAATGTAGATTACCCCCCGGATATCGAAAAAAACAATCATCATTGCTTTGAATTTGGACTTGCTCATGCGCGCTTTCTTCTTCCTAGGGGATTTGGGGCTCTTCCAATGCATGGATTGTCGCTTAGTCTCTGGATCATATTGAAGAATCCAAGTTTCGTCACACGTAATTACGTTTTGGAAGAAATCAGGATCATTTTCAATGTTTTCAAGAGTGTCAACACAGCAATTCACTCGATGTTCCTTTTGCTGGGGGGTAAGGATTTTTGGCACCACTTTAGCACACACCTTTTTCATGCCCAGATCGTCGTGCAAAATCTGTCTAACACTTTCCTTATTGATGTTCGTAAGTTCAGAAATTGCTCGAATGCTCAGTCGACGATCTCTTCGAACAATTCTAGCGACCTTCTCCACATTCTCTGGAGTTTTCGCAGTGGGAGGACGGCCCGATTTTGGATCGTTCCCGACGTTTTTCCTACCCTCCATAAACTTCTTAAACCACTCGAAAACTTGCGTGCGAGATAGACACTGATCACCATATACTTCTGTCAACAAATTGTAAGTTTCAGTGGCAGATTTTCCAAGTTTTGTGAGGAATTTGATGTTAGCACGTTGTTCTGCATTAGCACTCAGCATTATTCCGACGGAGCTCAGAAACACGATCCGCTTCTAACAATGGTCGCGGCCAGACTAACCGATGCACGTGAATGAAACTTTGTGTGACGGTAGAGGGAAGTCCAAGGGTCAATGCCCTACCCTCCTCTTCGTCAATGACGTGGCCGGAAATGAGTCATAAAAGTAATCCGGGTTCTTTATTGCCACACCTTGTATATATTCTTCTTTCCTGAATACATATACGATCCGTAAACAATATTCTGAAAGAATTCAAACATCAGTTTGAAAACAAATTATCTCGCTTCACACCCTCAGAAGAGGAAAAATTCTGGCAGTGCCCATGAACTCATCCATTGAAAAGGTGAATGTTACAATATGCTCTCCTACATTGACTATAACATAAATTGCAGTGAAGAAAATCTGTGCTCACAATGTAATGACAACAAATGGATTCATGAATAACATGAGAATGTTAATATTTATACGAGACAACTTAAATATTTATTTTACACATACACACATAAGGGGGCCCAAAAATGTATACACACTGTACCGCCGCAATTTCCTTTGACTCTCCTGCCACATGAAGAAATAACCACAGAGAACTTATACAAGAGTACACCTCAGCAATGGTGTTCCTATCAATGAGAGTGGAGATTAAAAAACACCTAGAAATGAACCTGCCCGCAGATGTATAGCTAGATTTACCACTTATCCCACCGCTATAACAAAACAAAGTAAAATCAGAATATGGATAACTTAAAATTTTTATTCTGCTGAAGCAACAACAAAACAAGTTGAAAACCAATCAAACCAAGGATATATCTTATCTATGGCTCTACAGCCCTTGTGGACCTTGACCGCTTTTTCAGTTTCATAATCTATACACATCCAGTAGGATTCCTTGGATGGGGGATCAGCTTATCACAAGGCCACTACATACACACAGAACAACACAAACAGAATAAATGCACACAGACATCCATGCCTCAAGTATGATCTGAACCTAAGATCCCAGCATTTGGGTGGGCAAAGAAGGTTCATGCCTTAGACCGCGAGGCCACTGTGAACAGCACCAAGGATGTATAGATGAAGTAATGATGCATAAATCTGCTAGCAAGGAGTACATTACGCTGGCTATGGTTAGTATATGTATAGTACAACCAACACATTTTTCCATATTCCAGTCATACTAAATCGTCACTAGGAAAACTGCGGTTGAAAGAGCTTTGTATAAAATTTAAGAAAAGAGACATTTAATTATTTCTCTGTTCAACGCATTAACTTTTTCTCTCTTTAACAACAGCTTGAGGAACTGTAAACATATTTCATCAAGCTTGGTATTTATTTGGAACCAGAACGCATACACACACCAAAATATTGTGACATGACACCTGAAAGCCAGAATGGTTCATTGCTAGAAAACGGTCGGTAAACAGGTTCCCATGGAAATTTAACACGCACTCAATAACAGAAGAACTGTCATTTCTAAGCAACAGATCGGTAAACACGCCTTGTTGGAAATGGGGTTTTCTGTACAGTCCATGAAAAATGTTTATATAGAAGTAGTTGGTTGGTGCTCGTGGTGTGGGCGCTGGAACATGTAAAATCCATGAAGATAGGAGTCAGGTCATCTACTTTCTTTATAGACTTGTTTCGTAATTTTACAACTTTTGGTTTTCATCCCTGTTACAAGGAAGGGCCATAAGATTGATGGCAATATGTTGTTAAATTGATGTAAATGTGAGAATGCATAATTTAATCATTCTTGGCTGGTCCTATGGACTGAAAACTACAGGTAGGTGGGAGGATACTACTGAAATGGATGGGTGAGTGTGCACTGGATTCGTTTTAATTAAGGTGGGTACATGTTATGGTAAATAAAGAAGCAACGCAAATTTTTATAATGAATAAGGCCCTAATAACCATTCAACTGCATCTTCTGACACATGCATGCAAGTGTACGTCAAGAGGGGCCTTGGGAAAAATGATGCAGGTTAGCCAGATCATTTTCACATAAGAAATCTGAAAGACAATTGCTATCTTAAGAACAGCAGAAAAGCTCATCTTCTCAGCTGGCATCAGCATCCTTCATGCAAGACCAAAACTCATCACACTACTCAAAAATGGCTCACTGTACGAAAACTGAATGGTAGGATCTATAAAATGTGTACATATCTTATCAAGAAACACCATGTTTATCTAAAACACCTCGCAGTTATATTTAGGGTTACAAAAAAAGAAAAAGTAATCTGTATCAAGCAGCAATTTCAATAGAAAATCTAAACCAACATGAAATTTACCTGACAACTTTTCTGTAGATGACCTATGACCAATTTCATTCCTACATTAAAAATTATTTTCATCATCCTCAATACTGTGAGAAAAATACAAATTATGAAACTCCTCATTATGCAAAAAGTTTACTAGCCTATGTTACTTCTTCCTTAAATCCATTTATTCATCTCAGCACCCTGTTCTGAATCATCTTCAATCCATTTTCTTCCTTTAATGTGAAAAACCAAGTTTCACACCCACACAAAACAATACCAAAATTATACTTCAGGACAAGGTACACAGTGTAAAGTATACAGTCTCCACAACAATATTCTGTATTTAAAGCAAAGCAGAAACTATCCTATCAACGTTTTTTTTTGTGTACCTTGTTTATGGCACACAACAGGATGCATACTATTAAGATTATACTTCACGACATTTAATCTTTGCATTTTTATATATAAGACAGAAAGACAAAACATGGCAGAAATAGCTCCTGAATTGAGTAAGCTCATAATTCTTTGTGAAGGGTGAAAAGTGATGTGGTATGTTCAGACATAAATTCATGCCAAATCTGTTAGCTGAAATAAGCATGTGGGATTGTCGATGCTTGACGAGACAACCACATAGTAAACTTATATAACAACTATTAATTGATGGTAGAATGTTTACACAGACAAGCATCTTACAACAGCTGAAACACACTCCCAATTTTCAAGTCTGCTGTGGTTTCGTTAGTCGTTGCTTCATAGCGATTTGGACCATGGAAATTCCTCTGCTTTAAACTGTCTTCTCAGTGTATTTTTCTTGCTGTTATCTTCCTCTTACATAACCACAGGCTGGTCCTTATGGAAAACGGTTCCATTGACCAGCAATGGACGTCCACTATTGTCATGTATTGTTGTAGGCTTTACCTAGCCAAGGGCTGTTTACCAAGAATCGGTCTCTGTGGGAAACGTGTTTACCAAGCTACTCTTTTGAAGCAGATGGTTCCTAGCCTGTCACTGATGACTAGTGTGTTGGAAGTACGTTGTCACTAGGTGGTGCACAAAGCAATGGGTGTTGAAGTTGCCATGGTCTGCATTAATTGGCTAGCGCTTGATGCTATGTGGGTGGCTCCCACAAACATTACAGATATATAATAGGCCTGCCAAAAAGGATTCCTCTTTTGTGCAATTTAATGATACTTTTAGTGGCAAGACTATATAGTACTGAATAATGGGATGAATAGGAAAGGATATGGAATGTAGCAGTCATGGCCTACTCAAAATACTATCCCAGCATTTTTCTGGAGGTACTAAGGAAAACCACAACCAACCAGTGTCCTGGCCAAGATCTGAACCAACTACCTTCCAAATAAAAGGCTAGAGGAGTACTGCCAAATCAACCCATCCAGTACCAAAAAAGAAGAGATATGGTACCCCATCCAAATCCAGTCTGTTAGCCCACCCACTAAGGTGGTGACTTCTATTCAAGAGGAATATTATTACATCATGTGTCAACTGATACTAGCTGTGGGGGTCATTTTATTATTCTTGTGAGTTTCTTTATACATGTGTGAAGAAACTAGCTCAAATAACCACACCTGGTCTCTTTCAAATTCTTTCCCACTTGTCTTCCCTTTGTTTTCATTGAAATAGCCTCTTCAGACTGTACTGTAAACGGATTTGGTATTGTCCTTTTTCCATAACACAATACAAATACAAATCTCTTCTACTGTAGGCAACATATAATGTCAACATCAGTCCTCAGTTTTAAACAAAAACTTACACTGGCTGCAGTCACAAACAGAATTTACTTAACAGATCATATTCACAAACTGTCCAAGTACTTAATTATGCCATGAAGTCAATGGTGTGCGAAGGTAGAGTTCCATGCATTCTTAACCTCAGCATTAGATGGAGATAAGTTGTCAGCTTCACGCCCCAGCTGTTTTATCCCGGGGTAAGATTAAACGGGAAGCTGGGCTGGAGATGGTCTGGACACTATAGAGAAGAAAAAAATTGTCCTGCTCTTTCCAAAATTAAACCCTGATTCATCAAACATCCATTCCATAGACTAGTCACTATTGCAAAGAAAAACTGTAATTCTCTATTTATAGTTTATGAAAAAGCTAACTGTTTCTGCCACTTAAGTCTGAAAAAATATCCCACCTTCTCCATCTAATGAGACTGTTGCCTTTCAAGACTCAAGACAAGACTGACTCTTGAAGTCTTGCAATCAAGTCTCTTAAGGCCTGCTGATCCAGTCTGCACTCCCACTATGTACCATCATGATAATGTAGTAAGGCACTAGTCCTAAAGACAATGATAGTTAATACAGTTACGATACCATTCACAACAAAAATTAAACGTCTGCCTTTTAGTAAATTTTATTTTTAATTGGTTGTAAGGTCGACTGCTACATAATTTGTCAACACAATGAATAAATTTCTGTTAACTTGATGCTAGAGCAGCACATATTTCAGTATTAGTTATGCATGATAGTGACTGTGCTGATTAAAATTGATGACAGATTTTGTTGTTATGACAATTTATCAGTCTTCAGCTACTATACAGAATTTCTTGATACATCAGTGAGATAATTAAATTGAACTCAAGAATTTATTAAATTAGTTATCCCTTAAATATTATGCATTGAAATAAATGTCAGTATTCATGAAACAAGACAAATATGCACACACAGACACATATCCACACATACCACAACAGATTCACAAACTGAATGTTCTCAAGTAGTATGGTCCATACTCATTTATATATACCTTTATGTTTCAATACCACTGATCATATTCTCTTTGCATTTTCCAATTTCAACATCTGTTAAGGGCAAATATTTTTAACAGAATAACACTCTTGTTCAAGCATTCGCTTTTCAGGTAGTGAAGCTGAGATTCATCGGAGTGAACTGATTGTTGGGAGTTCCCTCAGCTAATCTAGGTCTCACTCTGATGACAGATACAGAATCTTCTACCTACAAAGTAGATTAAAGAAACATACACAATTACTAAGTCATTCTTGTGCTCTGATTAAATTAATATTGCACACTGAGGAAATCACACATCATGACTCTCTGTCACTGAGCTGAACACAGACATTCGTCAGTTATACTGTGGTATGTAGAAACATTGTTAGGCAACGACCACGAAATAAGAATCTACACAAAAGCCACTGCTAGGTAATGCCTCTGTAAACAGTACTGGACACAACAAACATACACAAAAAGAACTGTTGAAAATGGTGTTTTCTGTGTGGTCAGTGCTGAGGCCAGATAACAAGGAGCAGCTGCAATTATGAGAGTCTTAAGATGGCAGTTAGAAGAGTAGGAGTTTGTTGTGCCACAGTCGCTGGCCAGTAAGGACGTGAACTCGGAAGCTGAGGAAGCTATGGAATTGGAAGTTGTTGCCAGCAACAATGGATGAAGATGCAGTAGACTGAGAAGACTTTGTATGTGCTGTAGTGAATTGCAGAGTGTGAAAATTAGTGACAGAGCTATAGTTACTTGTAGTTATGACCTTGTTCAATAAATCCAATTACCAATCCAAACCCTGTATATAGTCACTCATACATGTGAATATGATACTGGAGAACACATTAGCTAACTAATGGTGTGATCATCTACTGGAGCTTATGACAGTAACTGTTGATGAAAGCACAAAAACTTTCTTTTGCAATAACCGAAACACAGAATCTCATTCAATACATCACAACAAATTAGTCAAAAGTCGCAAAGGCTCATACCCAGGAGCTCCCACATAGACTGAAGGCAGAAAAGCAAGACAATTCTTCATAGCATGTAGTACCTTAACCCTTGGATTCATTTGTCTTAAATAGTGACCAAAACTGGGCTACTGTGAACACTGTAATAAACCATCAGTTGCATGAAATGCAGGGAATTTCTTGATCAGATGAGCAACTACTAGCTTCAAAAAGAACAACTAGTTAGTTACTCCTTATCTATCCACTCCCGTGGGAAACCATGGTATTACAAATTACTTACTGCTGTTGCTGCAACAGCGTTTTCAGCATATTCTTCCACACATAATCAAGCGATGAGCCATGTGTGATTAACATACTGTCATGTGTCATGCAGAAGTAACAGCCACTATAATGTACTACTTTATGCTGTGAGCAGAAAAATTTTGTGTTTTGGAGACTGAGGACTGAGATCTCAACAACTGAACTCTACAAATGTCAACATACCTGACTGAACACTGAAATGAATGATTCAATAAGAATGTATGTTTTATTATATTGGTTTAGGGAATCAGTATTTACAATTAGTGGTCCAAAGTCAAACAGGCGGAAACACAATCTACAATCACTAGCTTTTGAAGGGTTAATAATAAATAAACATACTTGCATCTCGCCTTCTTCCTGTTGACTCCTCTTTTGTGCAATAGCCTTCAGTAATGCTTTTCCTTCTTCCTTTGTCTGTAACAAACCAGGATATCTTGATTAATATCAAAATGATACCAGTTCAACCGTTGCAAAAATTAAATCTGGCATCTTCATCTGCAAGTCTCTTACCAGAATCATTAAAAAATAATGAACCATATAGAACCAGCCCAATGAATTTGCTAATAATTTCACAGGTGATGCATATAACCGCTCACAATTACGACATAATAATCCGTGGGCTCTGCTAAGTCGAATGGTGTGTGCATGATCCAGCAAGTGGCAGCCCTTATGCTGCAAGGTCAAGGACAATCCCAAAACATGTCTGCAGTGCGTAGGCGACAGTAATGGAGTCCACTGTTGAACAGCGAGTGTTTCTAGTTCCTACTTGAAAACGGCGGACACTTTCAACACCTGCTCTAATCACGGCACACAATATAAGATAAGATATGTGTAAATTACTTTAATATCTGTATGGCATATTTTACATTACAGCTCATTTCATCAGGCCGGTTCTATATGAATCACCCTATATTACAAAATAATTGTTAATAAATATTTTGAAATGACATCAATAAGGGACTGGGAAGTACTGGCCAGATGAAGTAGAAGGCTCTGGATGTGACTGCTGTAATGACTGGACAGAACTGAAAATTCTGTATGAGCAATTTTTAGTTCTTCACATTTGTATTATATATAGGATGGTTAAAAACTATGACCTCCAGATTTTGATGGAGTTACATGTTTTCAGCACCCCTGAATATGAAATAGTGGACTTTGGAAACCAGTTCATCTGTCTTTGTCTGGATGTGCCCATCATCAGCACCAGAAGAAGTACAGTATACACCATCGTCAGAATCCTTTCAAGTCTATCTGAGCACCTGAATGGTTGGACAGACTTCATTCATCTTCAGTATTTAAAGTTTATGCATCATGAGTTACTGCCTGGTTAATGTGAACATTCTAGTTCCGAAAACAGGGGCCATTCAGGTGAACCAAAAAACATAATAGTGATCATCTGAAAAATACTTCCAACACTTTTGATTAAATTTCAATAATTTATGGTGACCATCACCCTAAATAAAAGTACATCAGTGGTATCTTCAGGGAAATAAGAGCACGCACACTACAGGTCCAAATGATTATACAATGTGTAGATGACCAAGCTTGTATATTCAGCAACTAGTAATTGAATTTGTTTCCAACGTTCTGCATACTTTGTCATATATGACAAAGTATGCACAACGTCTTTACACCAACTTTATATATATCATCTAGGTATTGGAATGTTCTGTCTTCATTTTTGGGCGAAATGAAATAATGGATTTCATGATTCCCCATACTGTATTGTGATATCTTCAAACACTTCCATAGGTTTATCTTACTTGCATGTGTGAAATTTCAGATGCATTTTGTTCTAAGTCACACATAAACTACAGCTGATTTCCCACCTTCAAACCCAGTTTCTAGGAAACTGGTGTTGATGGCCATAGTAAACTGACGTACTTGTATGATGATACTGTAACATGATGGCTTAAAGCCAGGATTGTGGAGCCAGAAGAGATGACCGTTGTTAGGTAATGGCTTTGTAAACCCATTTCCGTGGCAACCAAGTTACATGACTGCAGCAACAGTTAGCACGCAACAATAGAGGAACCATTTGTAGTGGTGTCCTCTGTTGGATTCGTGCAGGGGCTATATAATGAGATCTAGTTTGAGCCTTGAGGAAGTGCCAGTGTGGAGGCAGGATCGAATACCTCTGCTGTAGCACTGCAAGTCATAGGAGGCAGAAAAAGGGAACCCAGTGCCTGGGGGTATAAATGGACCACCCTGTTCCTAGATGATGTAAATATGAGGACCTGATGTTCCAGGTTGGGGGAGTCTCAGATCTGAGACACTAAAATATGTTCATTAATCCTGTGGGACTCAGTTCCAAGAATGACTGTAGTGGTGAGGGCCAGCAGCAATTGTAAACATCAGTACCATCCTTCATCACAGAGGGCGCCCCACATCAACAAACCCGCAACCGTCTGACAGTAATAAAAATCTGGTCTTCAGCCCCAGGTGGGTGCTTGAAACAAAGAAACACTAGCTGACTGACCATCGGTCATAATATTGGCCGCAGTGCAGGGGCCAAGAAGGCCCACCCCCTATACACTCACTCATTCATTCATCGGTCATAACATAACTTTGACTTTAATTCTGATTTTCACTTTGGAGGAGTTAAGAAGGTGGAGACACACCTGGAGGCACCAAGCACCAGAAGCAAATGAATCTACAACATTGGGAGCCATTACCAAGCAACAACTGGTGGAGACACAGCAGACTGTGAAGACTTAATGCATGGCATAGTGAATTGTAAAGAGTGTGAATTTGTGACAGCACTTTATTCACCTGTAGTTGTGTGTGTTCAATAACTCCAGTTACCAAACCAAACCCCATGTCTAGTCACTAACACATGACACTATGTTAACCACACTTATGGAGACTTTAGAAAATTTGAAGTTACACCTGACAATTTTAACACAGTCAAAATGCATACTAGTGGAAACAACGCAGAAATGTAAGTTTTGAGGTTTTCACGGCGATGACAATGAAGAAAGTCGTCTTCTGGGTTTAGGCACCGTGTATTCTTCGTCTTGGCCGACGTTTCGGAGGAACGTAGCGCCTCCATCTTCAGAGCAGTTGAATGGCTTGGAATGCGGAGAGCAGTAGCTGTGATGATAGGATGTGATAGGTGCTGCTTATATACGAAGTAGGCAGGGGGGTGGTTAGGGAGAACGGACCAATGGGAGCAGTGGGGAGCGATTAAGACCATATATGGTGTGTGTTGATTAAGGGAGGGGGGGAGAAACGGCCAATCGCTCCCCACTGCTCCCATTGGTCCATTCTCCCTAACCACCCCCCTGCCTACTTCGTATATAAGCAGCACCTTTCACATCCTATCACCACAGCTACTGCTCTCCGCATTCCAAGCCATTCAACTGCTCTGAAGATGGAGGCGCTACGTTCCTCCGAAACGTCGGCCAAAACGAAGAATACAGGGTGCCTAAACCCAGAAGACGACTTTCTTGAACGCAGAAATGGTTCACCAAAGTGAGTAAATATTACTACCCAGTTTCACCATACACACTGAAGTACCTGAAAAAATTTCTTCCCAGAATTAAGGGTTACCTTTTGCGATATAATGCCGTTCAGTATGTTGGTTGACTTTCAAGGGACTATATGGCATTATATTCCAGAGAACATAACTTCTCAAAACAACCGCTGCAAGAACCTCTAATCCTACTTCACCGAAGGTCTTACTCAGGTATCATAGCATTATTGTGAAATATTTATCAATTAAAATTCTAAGGCATTTTTCACAATCGTGACACTGCATTTATTTAACAACGAAAACAGACTTACAGCAATGTACTATCCATGTGTCTGTGAAATGGAAGCAAAACTACTACCAGGACCCTCAAATTTTGCATGGTCACAGAGATATGAAACCAGGCAACTTCTGTTGCAGAAATCAAACAATGTCACTGCTGTGCAAAAACTATATTCAGCTTCTGGTTTGATGCTGATAACTAATCAATCAGTTGACCTAGACATCTGAAATATTTCAGATAATAAACATACCTACAAATTCTGAACGTAACATTATCTTAACAATTACAGAGTGACAACATGACAGTTTCAACAAATTTCACACATAACCTACTCTAGCCAGAGGGAAGCACATGAAGGAAAACAAGCATTATAAGCTCTTCCAACAAACTTCTTGTTACAGTGTACTTACCTCCTCAAACTCTAGACATTTCTGTGCATACTGATAGGCTTCATCTACTTGATTTCTCTTGACAAAGAAGTTAGCCAAATATTTGTATGCTTGACTTATTTCATTTTTGTCTGCATGGGGCTCATTATTTGTCACATATTCTGTAAATGCAGCTGCTGCATGACTGAACTCATTCAGCTTATCATACAATCTGGAAAAAGACAATATCTACTTTTAAAAACTGTAATGTAGATCTGTAAAACTTGGCTCAACAAGGATAGTATGAAGCAGGACCTCCCTATTCAGAATATTACTTGTAACATACTTCTTGCAGTATGATTATGAAACAAAGCATTATGAGCATTTTCAGCTTCTTGGATGCAACACTATAAAATCTAGTAGAACATTACCAACATTCCAGAGGAATTTGCTTCCTCTGTCTACAAGGTAAAGAACAAATTGAGCATGGAACAAAGTGGTATGGGCATAGAGATGAAGAACCAGGACTTGGACTCTGAGATCAATACAAACAAAACAAACACTGAAAAGAATATTTGGTCCTAAAAAGGGTCATTTTTCGAGGGCATTATGATTGGTAATGATCTACCAGACTGCACAGTGTCACAATTCTGAAGATGGCAATCTTCATAGTCACAGCCAAGAGAACCTCAAAAGCCTACAAAATATTACATGGCTTTAAAATTAGATCCTATTTAAACAATCTTGGAACAGTATTAATTTCTTTATTTATGTTCATAGACAATCAATAAAACAGTGGTTTACCAGCCATGATACAGTGCCCTACATTAAATAAAAATATTTGTTCACACAAAAGACTCAACTTAAATTATATTTAAAATGAAATCAGACATGTCTGGTTCATTACTTTGCAAGTCTAAGAAGTGCCGTTCCTTCAATATCACCAACACTACGAGCCTTGTAGTAGCATTTCAGGGCATCCTGTATCTTATCCAGTTTCTCATATGTTTCTCCAAGTGCAATGAGCATGCGACTATCATTCGGCCGCAACTGCTGAGCTTGTTTATAGTAATACAAGCAGTAGAAGAACATCTTGAGGATCTCATATGTTTGGCCAAGTCCATACCATGCTCGGTAGTCTCTTCTGTTCACCTCTTACATGGAAAACATCAGAATTTGAAAGTTTAACAGTGAAGGCAGATCAACACTACATGAAATCCAGCTTTATTTAAAGACAGAAAAGTGAAACATAGTGCCATAATATTCTACTTTACAAACTGCATGAATCTTATTCCTTGAGACAACTTCCTGTAAGATTAATTTTGTCTGATAATTGTCAGGAAGCGAAAAAAAATGACTGCACTAAATGGAGTACAGTTCTTCTTGAGAAGACAATAAACATTCAACTGGTCAAGAAATTCCCTTTTATAGGATCTGAAATTTCATTACCACCATCATGAAAGCTCATATCCTGAGGTACATAAATCCAGTCTACTCTCACATCCTACTTTCATCTTAATATTATCCTTCCATTCATGCCTAGGTTACCCATGAAGAGTCTTTATCTTCAGATTCCCTAATCAAAAGTAGACACATTTCTCACCTCATATATGCTACATGCCCTGCCCACTTCACACTCACTGATTTTTTCACCATAATATTTGGTAAAAGTAAGTAAACGTTTCCTTGCAACAGGCCGTGGAGGCCCATAGGGTTGTGAGATGCTGAGGTTCCCACATTTTCTAGACAATCTGCTCATAGATGGTGGCAAGGTTGTCAGCCCTATGCACAGGCTGCCCTTTACCTCCAAAAGCATTCCAAGAATATTCCTGGTAATCATTTCTGCTAGGCACATAAATTACAAAGTTCCTCATTATGAAATTTTCTTCCATCTTCTGTCACTTCCCCTTTCTTAGCTAATTAATATCTTCTTCACTACCCTGTTCTCACACACACTAAACCTATGTTTTCCTTTCAGGTAAAAGACCAAATTTCAAGTCCATACAAAGCAACAAACACGACACATATATGCACTCATATAATTTGCTCTTAATGAGCATCAGGCTACAATATATTCAATCTGAAGAAACTGCTGTTACTATTTATGCTTTAAACACAGGCCAATATATTTTTTAAGTTTTGTATTACACTTAAATTTCAAAGCTAGTGTATAAAATTATTATATGATAAATACTAATTGTATACAAGGCTGTGTTGAGACAGTATACATGTGTATTGATTGAAGAAATTACACTTGAGTATAATATTTCACAACATATGACACTACAGATTTGTATATTTTTAACTCTGTTTATGATTTTATGCACCTCACTTCCCTTCATGTTGACTGACTGCAGCCCCAGGCTATCCCAAAGCTAATGACACTAGGTATCACAATGCACCGAATCAGATATTATTTCCTTAAATTTAATAAAAATGATCACTATTTCATACAATGCTTCAGGGAAGATCTAATTCTTTATATCATAAACCAATTTTTTGTATGACGACTGTCTTTAGTGAAAACAATTACAGTTAGTTTTCAGTCTCACATAAAATAGGGACACAATTGATCATTATGAACCACGGCTGAGTTTGTTTGGAATTTCAGTACAGATACCCAATAAAAAAATTATACCGAAAACTACACAGTAGGTTTTGAAATGAAATACATAACAAACGAATGGACATCCCCTTTATACAATTCAGTTCTGAGCACATTACGCAAATAAGACAAGAACACTAACTGGAAAATATTTATTCTCATGTAAAATCATATCTTGTTCCATGTTTTTATATCAATGGCTTATGAATACACACTGTTTTAAAAATGTACACTCAGAATGTATTATAAATGCATCATCTAAAAATAATTAATTATTTTAATGACAATAAAATACATGAATGGGTTCAACAATCAGACTGCTGTATGAACTACTGAATAACTATCAACTGTTGAAATCAGTAGTGTAGAAACATGCCATCCTTAGATTCTGGCTCCACAGTTGGACTTCTGCAACATCCATCATTTAGAAATACAGACTGATTAAAAAATCATGCTAATAAGATATAAAATTGTTTCCACTTAGAATGTCTTATAACTTGCATTTGGATTTCTTCAGTATGAGAATTTTTTTATAAATGTATTAGAATTTTAAGTAAAGTTCAAATTTAAAATACTTACAGTTTACCTTGAAGATAAGAGAGTATATGGTTAACGGTATACTGATTGAACAATTCTCGTTTTAATTACCAAATATGAAGAAGGATCGGGTTACCTACCACATCTATTATTAGGACAGTGAGAATAAGGATGCTACAAAGGGCTAGTCATGTGTGTAAACAATGAATGTATACAAAATTTTTATTGGGAAATATCTTGGAAAACATCAAGTTTAAAGACCAAGGAGAAGGGAGAACAACATTATGAGGGCTCTTAAGGTGACAGGTTGCAAGGAGAGGAGGTGGACGGATCTGGCAAAATGATGACACTGCTACTATATTGCTGTTTAGATGTACCTACCTATGGCTTGCCTGTAGCTCTGTATTGCTGCATTAGTGTTCTTCATTTCCATAAATTCATGACCCATAAGAGTCCAAGCTGACAAATACTGAGGGTTTAATTTAAGCGCTCTCTGGAAATATAACACAGCCTTCTGGTGTTCTGATCTCAAGCTGTAGTAGTTGCCTGTAAAAATACTGTATGAACAAATAAAGCAGAAGGCAAGATTTAAGGTTATCACAACAGTGCGTATCAACATTACGGTCTTCTGCGATGTGAATTCTAAAACTCGAAATCAGTGTTTTTTTCTTTATTTAATGATTTTCTGCCAACTATGGAAGTCATATTTTGTTCATTTGTGAGGATAATTGAAAAATTACAAATCAGGAAGGACATGGAAGTAGGTGGGGTCCATTTTAAAGCACTATAAAACCATTTTCCATAGAGGGACCGAGGAAAACCTCCAAAATTATGTTACGATAGCTGACCTCTGGGCCAAGGATCAAACTTTCGATCTGACATATAAAGCAGGGGTACCAGCCATTCATATGGGATTTAGAGTTGATGAATATGAAGTTGGATAAAAGAATATTCCTTACTGCAAATCACAGTTCATAAACTGGTATCAACTTATAATGAACTACACACTGATGTATATCAAGTTGGATAAATTAATATTTGTTACTGTGAGTCATAGTTCATCAACTGATATGATCTTCTGATGAACTAAACACTGACGATTACGAAGTTGGATATAAGAAGATTCATTACTGTGAGTCAGTATCTTTTGATATCACCTTCTGAAGAGCTACATACTGATGAATATTGAGTTGAATAAAAGATGATTTGTTACTGTGAGTCATAGTTCATAAACTGATTATCATTTTTTGATCAGCTGCACACTGGTGGTGTGGTGCACACAGAGGATCTGATGCAGAGGACAAGACAGGTAACTGTATGGCAGGCTGCTGTGATCACAAATATCACCATCAGTACAACACATCATAAACTGCTGGCATATCAAAACACTGTATTAGTAAGATGGGTGCCCAAGAAAATGAACGCACAGCACAAGTGCAAATGGGACTGTCTCTGACACGTGCAATGCTACTACAAGAAAGACCAGAGAGGATGGTGGAGAGTTCTTTCTGTCTTCTAGAATATAGCGCTGTGTAGTCCACTGAAAGCCAATAATCATTTTGGAAGGACCTGCTGCCTCCAGCTTCATGGATGAAGAGTAAGACAAGCAAGAAATCAGCATGAAGCAGACAGCAAGCATTACTGGTTTCTTGCCTGGCTTACTTTCATCCCTGAAGATGAAGGTGACAGATTTCTGGGAAACATCAGTTGACATTATTATGTTATTACTTATTATGTTATTTTTCTGACTTATTATGTTATTTTTCTATGGTTTTTTATATTATTAGTCATTTTGATGTGATGTTTAATCTCATATTTTTTTTTTAAACTGACTTGTCCAATTGTACATAATGTAACAGTTAACCACATATACACGGTGCCAAATCCCAGAAGACTGCTTTCTTCTTAACAGTTATGGATGTTAAATAAATCAATCAATCAATCAATTAAACAGATTATACAGAGTTATATCCCAGAAGACACAAATTCTCATAACCACTTTTACCAATGTGATGAATTTGTGCTCATACCTAATTCTCATAAAATTCATAACAAAAAAATTTCAGCAGTGGAATCATTGTATGTATACATTGTGGTTCCTTTTTTTCTTTGACAGCAACTGTTACACAGAGGTAAAATGCCTAACTACATACGTAACGTATCATTAGAACCAACAGTTTTCTTTATTACATAACATTTTACTGCAATATTAACTCACCCACAACACAACATGTCTCAACACGGTATTTGTCTATCTCACATGCTTCATGTGCGAGACGTGCTAATTCCACTCTCAGCTCTCTCACATACAGGAGATTTGAGTATGTATCCAAATTATCCAAACGGAATGGGTCACATTTTTGTAGTCGACGGAATGTGGTTATAGCTGTATCTACATCTGAGTGCAAAATAAAACACATAATTTAACTGAAAGGAAAGAATCTGCGAACATATGACAACAGAATAAGGTGAGACACTGCAAGGTAAAGGTAAAATTGTCCCTATGCTTAATTAATTAAGCTTTATGCCAAGAAGACATATGGGGGAGTGGAGGTATTTCTCCACCATTCTTGATCTCGGCAATGGATGTAGGTGAGTGGTCAGTCTCATTCCTTGACCACTTTACCCAAGGGAAAGAACCCTTTGTGGGCCCCAGACATTGCCCGTTGTGAATCGAACCTTGGCCATCCAACACACAGTCCATTGCTATACCAGACCAAAAACAATAAATGCACTAAAGGGATAATATAATCATTACTGAATTTTCCAGAATACATTTATTAACAAACCTCACTTATGTAATCTTCTAGCAAATAAAAAAGAAACAAATCTTACACACCATCTTTGCAAGATTTATTTTACTATTAACCTACTAGCTCTCACATAGCTTTTTGATGAAACATTTGTGTGAATTTCTTACTTCCCCCTTGTACACTATGTCTCATTTATCACACAAGAGATACAACTTAAACATAAATTACACTGGAATACCTCTTCTATTATGGAAAGCAATAGCAGTTTGAGCTATGAGGTAAGTACTCTTCTCAAAACCTTGTTGCTGAAGGGCAAAATAAATATCCAGAGCATCATCATTCAGCTGCTGTTCTAGGAATGCGTGGCCAAGGAAAAAGTGTTTCATCCAGTGGTCTGGTAATACAAGTGAATTGAGCTGGAACATAGAACTTAGTTCAGTAATACAAAATATCAAATTTATTTTAATATTGGCTAACATTCAGTGTTCGTAATCTGGACTGCATGCAAAATATATAATTTCAAGGTTCTTATTACCACCATGAAGCTATCTATAACATGATATGCAAAAAAGTATGGTGGAGAACCCATCGTAAATCACACTAAACTGTCACATGTCATTAGAGAATAAACTCCAGGAATGTAAGAAATAAAGTGCAATATAAACATATATATATATATATAAAGTTTCTTAAACTCCATTCTACCAAAGTGCAAGATGTATAACAAAACTGGCCTAATCAAAGTTATTACCAACTGAGAACGTTCAACCAACTCAGAGAAAGAAAAATTTACTGCTGGTAACGCCAATTTATGCAGGTTCCCGGAAAACAATATGATTTGTAAAACTGAGGCAATATTTTTATTATATAGATTGCATCTTGTTGTGTGTATAGTATTAGATTCTTTTTTGTATTATAACTGTCAACACAACACAACACAACACAATGAGTGGTATGGAAATATCTTCAAAGGAGATAGTAGATGTATATTTTACTTATTTATTACAAATATAGTCATGCTACATGTTTTGATCACAATTCGGTCATCATCAGGCCTTAAATGAATATATCTCAAGTAATTAAACACATTGGGCACAATATGCATCTGTATTTGTTAACAGATTGCTGTATTGCAGCAAATATATTTTGGTAATATATTCACAATATTAAAAAGGTAAAAACTGATAGAAAGTGGATACAATATTAAATGATATATGATATGAATGAAATAAAAGTATACTATAAAAATTTGTATTTAAAATTTCAGACTAAAACTTCTGTTGGATCGTGTGCAAACTTTAGCAGACATATGACAGTATGCTGAAGGAGGCTGTTGCATTATTTCCTGCTATGTTGTCATGAATTTTTAAATACAATTTTGTCGGATGCAATCTATTGGTTATTTGTTGTGATTCTCTTGGTTATCCAAGTTATATACATCAGAGCATACCCCTACTAAGTTTATGTAGTGGCACAGACTAAGTGTTCCCTGCATGTAGTATCCTCAAGGCTGCTCATCCGGCGCGGCTCACTGATAAGGTGCAAGCCATTCCAGGTGTACCACCACCAACCTCGATCCATTATTTATCCAGGTGACTAAATCGTATGGCCCTCCTAGGCGGATTGGAGCTTTGGCAATTACCCTTCATGCAAGTTGCGCAACAGAGCCACATTCTCTTGGTCCCCAGTAGCCCGTGCAGCTTGTCAGTTTGTCAACAAGTTTTCATCCAGCCACTGGCCAGCTTCAGGTGTTGGCAAGCATAACTGTTGATGTGTAGATGGTCCACTAAATTTGCTGCATGATCAATTTGGGTCATTCCTTGTCGGGGGTGCCCAGAACAGCATGTCACAGACCAGTCAGAGTTCTCTTGCAAACTATGCACGTATTACATAGTGCACATAGTGACATAAGTGAATGCCCTGTAGGCCAAGAGGAAGATGGGTAATCTTGTGTTCCAAACCCTCTGGTGGGATGTGATGACCTTCCGTTGGTCTTCCTTGACCATTTTGATGTAGCATTCCACCATGACATCCAACTGTGGATGCAGGGGCATGGTGCACATTTTGCTCACTCCCAGGCACTACAGAAACCTGTGTATCAGACATGACTCAAAGTTACAGTCCTGGTCACTATGTGGGTCTTGTGGTACTCTGAAGTGGCAGAAGAAATTGGTAACTAGCGCTTCTGCCGCTGTTGAAGCCTGACTGGAAATGGCATAGGCTTCCGGTCACTTTGAAAAATAGTCCATAATCATCAGGAGATACTGGTTTCCTTGGTTGCTCCTTGGGAAGGGCCCTGCGACATTGATGGCTATCCTTTCAAACGGGACCCCAACAATGTACCAATGCATTTGGGCCCAATTCTTGGCACCTTATCAGGAAGTCCCTTGGGAAGAGTGGCCTTGAGGAGGGAGCACCAGGAGCAGTTGGAGAGCAAACACCATGAAAACTGGCCTCCTTACTTCCAGGGAAAAAGCCCCTGGTACCTTCTGGATAGGAGGGTGGGTTGACTGCAGAACCTGTCTGGTCACTGTAGAGTAGAGGAAAATCTCTTGCCTTGCCAGGAATCGAACCCTGGCCATCCAGCCTGTAGCCCATCACTATATCAACTGCACTATCCCAACTCAAAGAAAAAGTGTAGTGAGCATAAAATGTGTCCTCAATTTGCCTACATCTGTTCAATATATTCTTTGCTCTGATAAATACTTAGCAAGTTGCACTTCAGAAGCACATACTCATAGACACAAAGGTAGTGTTCACTGCTGTTGTACAATATTAACCAAAACTGAAATGGGTTGACAAGTTTATTAAACTCCCTTATATAAAAGTTTATTAAAAGTTTTTCAGTTATTTTCAAGTTGTTACAAACAAACAAATGAATGGCGAGATACAAATGGCAAACTTCAGTAATGTACTTCTCCACCTTTTCAATGTAAACACAACAAAATCAGTTGGAGGGTATAATAATTTCTGACACAAAATGGTACCTCAATCACTTTAAAGCATGCCAACAAAGACTCCAGAAATACATCTTAAATCTATTAGCAACTTAATAACACCCACTCACCCAGAAGTATGCTTCATACAAACATTTTAATAAACATATCTAAAAATTCAACATGAAATGTTACATGTTAAAATCAGGGAACACATCTTGGGCATTATTTATTTCATTGTCTGCAACCTACACATGATAATAAATCATTTGCATATAACATATTTACAATCAGAATGTAAACATACTTTTTACTACACTCAACAAGCTAACCCATGGTAATGCATCTCTTGAGCTCTTTCACCAACCATTAAAATGTCCAAAATATTACACATTCTTCCTTTCTGTGGCTATACAAGCTGCATGCAGAAAGTAAAAGGAAAACAGAGGAAACATTAAAAATGGCTCCAATAAAACTATGATATGAATGCAATCTGGTTTGACTTCCTGAGAATTTGAACATCATATTCCTTAAATTCAATTTTTAATACAGCCAACTACTTAATAATTCAGTCTTCTAGCAAAGTGGCACAAGGACATGAAATCATAAACATGCAGTAAATATACTATGAGAAACATGTTTAAACCGATTCCATAAAGCCTCATCAGCAGGTACTTCTCTTGGATCTACCCACCTTAGTTCGATCAGTGATCAAAGTTGCCAATTCAAGCCAAGACCCCCAATGCATTGGTTCTTTATGTGCAGCCTCAACAAGAACTTCTGCAGCTTCTCCAAGCAATTCTAGTCTTTTGAGTACAACACCATATAAATAAAGTGCATAGCCATCTAGTTTCCTGGCTAAATGATCCCTCATTAATTCAGATCCTAGTTCACGAAGACTTGCATTCTGAGTAGGATCAGGTGGTGTTGTAATGTCTGTCATATCCTCTATCTTCTTTTTCTCACCAGACAGATAGCGCGAGTACAAATGGAGGAAGCGTGTACGGGGTACTTGGCAAAATTCAGTGAAGTGGGCACACCTGAAATTTAGATCCTATGGTATTGACAATTATAAAAACAGAACCAACTATCCTATAGACTGGGATGCCTGAGGTCAAATAAATTCTAATTTGCCTGGAATGTGGCTTCAAATTTTGAATTCAACTTTTAACTCTAGCCTTATTTTTACCAATTGGCTTCAAATGTTACCACAAACAAAAATAAAGTGAGATTTATGTTCCCGATGATAAATGAATCAAGAAATCAACAGGCTCTAATGGAAAATCCAGAAATCAAGAGTTCAAGGGATAAAATGTATCTCTTAAAGTCTCCCTTACTTTGTTGCAAACAAACATTAATGTGGTGCAGGACTGCAAGATGTTGACACAAACGAGGCTCTGGTGGGCAAGTGATGGGAAGTGTAACATTTACATTTTAAATGCACAAAATTCCACTACCTGACTCATAAGACTGAGGCAAGGAAAAGAAACACTACCATGTCCAGGTTGGTTTCATTTTAAATTCAGTTCTTGGTGTTGTGAGATGGTTTTTGCAAATCAAAAGTTGGTACCCTTGAAAGTGTGTTCGATATATTCTTCTGAAACAGATGTTGTAGAGATTGTCTTTTGTTTTTTTGTGTAACCTGAACACTTCTGAGTTGGATACTGGAAAGGCGAGACATATGTATTCCTACTATTGTATTTTTCAAGTCACAAATACAGTTTATATTCTAAACTGGTCGTTGGAGTATTTGTTCCCGATTCCCGCACTCTGCCAACACTTTGGCTTTCTGTTCTTGAGTTATTTGATGGGCAGACAACTGCATGTAACAGTGCCAATTAATTTGAATATGAACCATCCAACTAAGCAGTCTATCACATAATATATGAGTCTACTTCAGACACAGGTCACTGTGTTTTCTTAAACTAACAGTTATATGAAAACATATGAAAATTAAGATACTAATTTCATTGAGATTGACAAACTTCATGTGATACACATTCAATCATGTACATATTAAACAGGATAATCTTAAAATTAATTTTCTTTTGTATCAAGCAAAGCACAACAAATTTTGCCAAAAGCCTGTGCACCCGAATCCTTTATCTGGATGAAGCCTGATATAATCGCATGTTGCTATGACATAAATAAAAGTATGGGGTATCTTGTTTTATAACTCTGTGCTTCTGAAGACATAAAATGTTGAAGACTGTGTGATGCTGGGTGTTTCCATGTCAGTCATGGAAGCATTAAATGATACAAAACACCATGTCTCTGAATCTACTCGAAATACACCGATAAAACTGAAATCATATGGAATTTACATAAGAATCTACCAAATGACATATGAAACTTTGTTATAACATGGATGTTTCAAGATGTAAAGGAGTATTGGTCATCATATTACTTACTTACTTACTTATGGAGCTGAGTCCTTCTTGAGAAGCCAAATCTGCAGCTACTCAAGAATTTCCCAGCATTTTATGGAACCCGAAGGTTCATTACCATGTTCACAAGAGCCCTCCACTGGTCCCTATCCTGAGCCAGATCAATCCAATCCATCCCATCCTATCTCTCTCTAAGATCCTATTAGCGTCCATTTGTCTACAATCCGTCTAAATTGCAACACTTTCTATTTTACACTTCAACAACACACTCTCTAACACTACATGTTTCGGCCTCAAACGACCATCTTCAGGTGTTTCTTTACAGATATTCAATTAAGATTGTGTCGAAACTGCTACACAGTGTAGCAGTTTCGACAAAATTTCAACACATTTTTTGGCAAGCAATGCAATACAGGGCAAATACAACTGCTACTGCAGAATTGCTGACTTAATTAATCTACAAAAACTTTTTTTTCAGACTCAAGTTCTGCTATGACTAAGCTTCATCTACATCACTGATTTGTTTCAGAACCATCTCTAGGACAAAGAGGTCTTTGCTCAATTTCCAAAACCAACTTCTGGACCTACACTCTTTGAAGATAAAATCTTTTTCAATAAAAGAAGTGCCTTCAGAAGTGTAGTATTTCACCTGACAAAGGTATTTCATATCACAGAAGAAACTCGGTGTCTACTGTTATACTAAATATTAACACATTATTATTTTCTTTCACTTCATTATAACAGCTTGTAGAGTTTGTCTCACCTGTCATATTCTTTCAGATCAAAGTAGCTTTTGGCCAACAAATAATGTTCTGTTTCATCATCATTGTCAAGTTGTGTAAAAGCATTGGAAGATTCTAACTTAACCTCCTGTAATGCAAAATTCAGTTCTGACAACCTGTAAGAGTTAATAACAGTGATATTTATTACACAATTACATACAGATCACACTGATAGTTTATTACTAATGGCATTACACTGCATTTCTTTCTCAATGGTGATAGGTAGAGTTACAGAAGCTATACAAATTTTCTACTACTGAAAATTTGTCTTGAATTCTTACATATTAATTCACTTCATCTTTAGATGCATTTAATGTCTAGCTAGAGAATAATAATTGTTTTACGCTATACATAGCAAAGATTAAAATATAAGGAATATGAAACACAAACACTACACACTCAGACATTTAAGGAGATTGAATAATAAGCATAATAAAGTGCACAGGATTTCAGAAGAATATAGGTGCCTATAAAAGTAACAAGAGGTGATTCTGTAAGTAAACCAACATGCTCTTTCAAGATTTTGCCAGAAAGAGGTGGTAAATCAATTTTACCACAAGACATCATTGCAATAAAATATGATGGCATGTCTGTTTCATCTAACATGGAATATAAAAATATTTTCAACCATTATATTAGGCCAACAACCAACCTCAGTCACAATAAAGATAAACCAAAAAGAACTGGAGAATGTGAAATGTTTTAAATATTTGGGTAGCTTGTTAACAGATGATGGAAGGTGTATTTGTGAAATTAAATCTAGGATTGCCATGGCAAAAGCTGCATTTCACAAAGATGAAGAATCTTTTTACCAGCAAATTGGACTTAAATTTGAGAAAGAAACTAGTGAAATGCTACATGTGGAGCATAGCTCTGTATGGGGCTGAAACATGGACACTTAGGGCAGTAGATCAGAAACACCTGGAAAGCTTCGAAATGTGGTGTTGGAGAAGGATGGAGAAGATCAGTTGGACCGATTATGTGAGAAATGAAGAAGTCAGTGAGTCAGTGTCAGTGAGCAGAGGAATATCCTACATGAAATAAGAAAATGGAAGGCTAATTGGATTGGTCATGTTTTATGCAGGAACTGCCTTCTAAAAGAAGTTATCGAAGGAAAGACAGATGGGCGGATAGAAGTGACAAGAAGACGAGGAAGAAGAAGTAAGAAGATGCTGGATGACCTTGGGGACAGAAGAGGATACTGTCATTTGAAGGAGAAAGCTCTAGATCGCATCAAGTGGAGGAACTGTTTTGGAAGAGACTGTGGACCTGTCGTCTTGACAGATTACTGATGAATGAATGAATGAATTTGGCCAAACGTTATCTAGATCGCATCAAGTGGAGGAACTGTTTTGGAAGAGACTGTGGACCTGTCGTCTTGACAGATTACTGATGAATGAATGAATGAATGAATGAATTTGGCCAAACGTTAACATTATGAAACAAGACATTATAAATCACTTGCTTGCCCTGTTATATTAATACAGTAACATTTGATTTCTGATGCCTCACACCTTCAGGCAAAACAACAGACATGATGAAGAAAATAATATATTTTAATATACTAATTTTTTCCCTTGGTAAACATCACTCTCACACCACATACCATGTCAGTAAATCTTCCAAATGTATCAATTAATCCCCAACTAGCTGCTTCAGTTAAGTGGGGATTTTTTTGTTTTTAGGCTACGAAAGGTTAAGTGAACTGCAGAAGTTGGAACAGCTTACATAACAGAGTATTCTAAACTTTCTCCACAATTTTAATTTACAGAATGCAACAATATTCCTATAAACCAAATAATTATTGGTCTCACATATCACCTTCATCTCAGTTGCATACTTCATGACTTCCATCACTGTCGCGGTATCGAGATATGACAAACAAAAACATAACCTCAAAATCAACTAAACAACAAACAGCCTTAGTCCACATAACAAACATACTTAGAATACTAAATGATTCAGAACAGGCCGAGTTTTGTCTTTAGTCTTTGCTGTAATTATGAAAAGTGTAATACCAAATTCTATAGCTTACCACTTTGTACTGTGCAACAAACCTCGCTGAGAACATTCTACAATTGCTTTCTGAAGATCCAATTTCACTTCCTTCAAATCTAACTTTATTGACTCTTCGGCCATTTGAACAATAACGTTTAAAGCTGCAAGATAACTATATACTGTTTACACATGACTCCACTACACATTAACTGTTATTCCGCGCAAACTTAAATGTGTATTACAAACCTTACACCTCATCGCTTATCACATGCACGGATTCCCAAGTTCCAATTCCAAAGTACAGTTCTGTGAATAGCAATACACACATATCAACGACCGTCAACGACGGTCAACGACTATGTATCGATATAACACAAGCATGAATCGGCACATCCTAGACAACACGATGTATAAATCGTATAAATTGGGAAAACCATAATATGAAAAGTGCATTTTGTTTGCTTTCATACAAATTCGAGGGCCCCCGATTACGAGGGGAAGTAATTGAGACATATGGCATAATGAAGAAACAGTTATAGCTTCTGGCACGAAAGTATGTCATTTCTAGGACATTCCTATTATTTCGCAAGGATGTAAAAATGAATCCTTTTTCTTGAATGAGCGACCCCACTAAGCAGTTAACATTTTTGATGGCAATAACGAAAATTTTACAATCCACTTATAGGGCTAGAAATTAGTGTAGACGTCGTCTAATTGGTTCCAGATCACATCCTTTTGTAATGACGCCAGCACCAGCCTCTAGACATAACATTGTCATGTGCATGAGTGAATATAGGCAGAGTTTGGATTGCTGACTTAGATTTACTGAACACTTATACACACAATTCGTTGCTACAAATAATTATAACCCCATTGCCAATCTTCACACTTCACAAATCAGTAGAGCATATGCTGTCTTCTCAGTCTGCTTTCACTGGTCACTTGTCGGTAACAGATCTTGACAATGGATATTCTTCAGCATCTGCACTCACATGAATGCCCGCTGGCTGATGCTCCACAACTGACTCATTGTCAAAGTCAAAGTCAACGTTATGTTGCAACCAATGGTCAGTCGGCCAGTCTGACTTGGAATAAAGCACCCATCTGGGGCTTAAGACCAGATCTTTATTACTGCCAGACAGTTGCGAACTTGTTGATGTGGGGTGCTCTCTCTGATGAGAGGATGGGTCTGTCATCTGTCAGAGTCACAGTCAGCAGTAATTAGTCTGTTGTCAGTATGTACAATTTACATTTTACATGTTCCGTCCTGCTTATATCTTAGCATGGACCACATAGAATACACCATTCCTCTGTTGTAGTTAAATTGTTGCTTATTAAGAATCTGTTGCCTAGTAGCATGCTGTTTTGTGGTCTTTACCTAGCATCAGGTCTCTACATGCTACATCAATCTTTCCATGTAGGAATTAATTGCTTAACCTCAATTGTAATCTTTTTCATAATAGCATGCTCTTCTACTAATTTGCTGCATAGTTCTGAAAGCTCCCTCCACCTCAGTGAAATGCAATCATTGTTGTGACGTTTGAGGTTCTCTTGAAGATAAATACAAAGATTACAACTGTCTTCTGATATGTGAGCTGTGTAGCCAGTTCAATACTTACCAACATTCTGGGGGAATACTTTGCCTCTGTCATGAAGATAGGTGTGGATTCTACACTGAAGATGGAAATAACAGGTTCTTTCAAAATTTTGCTTACTTTATCACAATATGCAGCATCTTATGCAAATCATGTATTTCAGGTTTGTATCTGCATAAAACATTATATTTTTACATCTTCAGATTATAAACAGAACTTCCAGTTCTTTGGTAGTCAATTTTCAATTCTAAGAAGTAATGTCTTTCTACAGTATCTATGTCAAATACAAATAGAATCTTGCACTTACCTATTGCACTAAAACCAGCTCTACTCACCGGTTTTGAGAATCAAAAATCTGACTGCTGTGGTTCAAAATATGTCAGGGTAAGTCCCTCCAGATTGCTGAAACCTCAGCAGTCATGCTTGTTGAGGACATACTATGTGGGGTGGAGAAAGTGACAGGTGCACTGACTGAGGAAATAGCTGAAGAGGTCTGGCAAAAAAGAGTCAGGATCCGGAAAAGTTCTTGTAAACCCAAAGTGCTGCTGACTATAATCAGAAGACTGCTGCCAACATCTCTGGCTGTAGAGTTCAAAGCCTCAGAGACATTACGGCATCTCAAAGATCCACAGGCACCACTGGGGCCCTTAACTGCCTTTTTGCCAAACATCTGGTGGGCCTATTCAGCTCTCACCTTCACAACTCTCCACATCACATGGAGAATTCAGCAGACTTTAACTACACACTAGGCTGTTATAATGTACTGTACTATTACTGTTAACAAAAACTGAACAAACTTTTAAAACAACAGAAACATGAAAAATTAACAAATGTAATTATAAACTAACATTTTCAAACTTTACTTGAAAAATCCAAGAGTGATATCTGTTTAAGACACATTCCTCAGCTGCGGTGATTTTGTTAATTGGCAATAGGTGCTCCACTGTACTTACTGAGTATATTCATATATATGTCTTTTGGAGTGGGGTGGGAGCACCACATTTGTGATTAGCCTGCGCTTCATCTCACCTCTCTCAGGCCCTGGGTACAAGCATATGTGATATATGTGTTCCTTACATACCCTGTGAAACGTACCAAGGCCCAGGACCAAAAAGTGGTTTGGGGTTAAAAAAAAATTTTTAAACAATACACACACCAAATAAATATAACAATATAATTTGTCGAGTGAAAGAAAAATACAGGCTGTCCCAGATGAGGATGAAACAACGTAAAACAGTGCACCAACTCCGCCGTTAATTTAGCAAACCTAAAAATGTTCAAGAGATAATTTGGAACGAGACGAGCACCACACTCTTCCACGGCATGCAGCAGAATCCCCTTTCAGTTTTCAGACGAACCTGCTAGTTCCTGGTGAAAGGGTGAAGGGCGCAAGAGTAGGGCAGGAGGAGAGGGGGAAAAGGAATGAAGGGGGGTTCATAGTTAAGGGACATGGCAGTAGTTTCTGACGTTACACCTGTTTCCTATTGGTCTGCTCATGGATAGCAACATCTGGTCCAGAGTACAGATGTACATAACATACATGCATACATACGTGTACATACAGACAAGAAACAAATGTGTCACTCATCAGCTCAATCTCTGATGACTGATGCTAAGACAGACCTCAAAACACTGGAAATTCATTCTACATTGACATGGCTGACCATCAAAGCTGACTTCAAAGAATACTTCTTCTGCTTGAAGCGTGTTGATATAATTTGGCACATTTGACTTGTTCCATATCCTATGGTGTCTTCCTGTATCTGGATTTATGGAATGTAAATAAATTGAACAACTGAACATATAAAGCTGTCACATTAAGAAAAGGGACTGAATCCATTAACTCTCAGATCTGAATAATCTGAATACTACAATATATAACAAGATATAATATATAATATAGTTAATATTTTTTTATTCTTTTATATTACAAAGATCAATGACATAATTATCCTTTAATAATGTGAAATAACGTACACAGTACTTTGTTTTGTTTCCACACTTCCTGGAAAGTTTTCAAAAAGTATTCTTTCCAACACTTCAAAAAATAATATAAAATCCAATGCTGAATCTAATAATTTTCAGTATTCAGTTGCACATAAACAAAAATAACAGATACAAGCTATATAAACAGAAACATTTACTATATGCCATGAAAATACTGCTTTATTTTTAACTATATCTGATTTGTTTCATTCTGGTCCATCACACTAACAATATCATGAAAATTTAAACAGTTCCGTCCAGTGTGACTGGTGAAGATTTTTCTTCAATTTCTTTCAATTATTTATGCCCTTACATGTTTTGGTCTTCAGAGACCATCATCAGGACACATTTACATCAATAGAGTTGGAGGCTACTATTACAATACATGTTCTGAAAGTTACAATATATACATATAAAACAATATACAACTGGGTATAAAATCTAAGGTCTTTACAACTACAGCAGCTGGTCCAATACTTTAAAATATTTATAATTGATTTGTTAAGACTCTATTTGAATTCGTAAACCAAGCAGGTTCATGTCATCCCTCTTATTATTTCTCTTGAATCCTCTTCTCGAGAACGACAAGGCAGCACACGTTCAGCCCCCCGTCAAGAGAAATAATATGAGGGATGACACAAACCTGCTTCGTTTACAAACTCAAATAGGGTCTTAACAAAGAAATTATAAATATTTTAAAGAACTGGAACAGCCATTGTAGTTGTAAAGACTTTAGATTTTATACCCAGTTGTATATTATTTTATATGTATATAGTTTAACTTTCAGAACATATGTTGCAATAGTAGCCTCCAACTGTATTGATGTAAAGGTGTCCCTGTGATGATGGTCTCTGAAGACCGAAACATGTAAGGACAACAATAACTGAAATAAGAAAAATCACCAGTCACATTGGACAGAACTGTTTAACTTTTCATGATTAAACTATTATTTCATATAAAAACAACCATGACAAATACACAAACACACATGCATGTACACTAACTTTTCACCCTCTAAGATACAAATATCTTATAGACTATGGTGCTGCTTTATCTAAAATGCAATAATGAAAGCAGCAACACTGTTACTTCATTTATCACAGTTTAAAAAATTATATCAGATCTACTTGCATTAACCAGTAGCGGTAATAAAATAGAGGCAATATAGAAATGATATCACTGTATTAACAGTTTTTTGTGGAACTTAAAATACATAAGCCTGAAACAGATAATTTATCTTGTTCTATACTGTGTGCACACTCACAGACTGTAATTTTTCATCACAGATAAAAAAATACACTGAATTCTATACTTGAAACAAAATATTTAATCCCATATTACTGAAAAGTGTTTGCTCTTCATTCAGGTCTTGAAATAAATTGTACAGAAATAATGAAATTACAATGTACATACTGATTATGCCAATCTCAGGATCCTCACCAACTGCAAAAAAAAAAGTTAACTGAAAACTTATAAATATATTTTCATTGAACCCACCTTCCAGATTTACTGAAAGTGCCCCTTCTTTGCTGGATTATTCTCTTAACATAAACTGCACTGAAATAATGGCATTACTTATTATGATAATCTTGTGTATATACTGCAAAGGCCCACGGGGGCCCCCCCCCCCCAAAGTCACTAGAAGTGACTGTTCTTTGGCCAGAGACTTATTTTAAACACATCACACTGAAATAGTAAAATTACTTATTATGAACACACATTCCAAACTGAAAAATGTTATTTACAAATGTAACATCACACATGTATATGCAATGAATAGTTACCACAAAATGGAACTGCAATAGGCACAAATAGCATCTGAACTACAAAAACCCATTTCTGGTCACCTATTGTTCTGATCAGAGATGTAAAAATGGAGAACAATGGATCAAAGGGTTTTATATATAATATGCATTATCAAAGACCAGATGAATTCATCAGAAAGAAATATAAAGTAAAGTATAGTTGCACTGAAGCAGATCCTGAGTTCTCACAAATTAAAAATAAAGACTTCTAATAGATCTATTCAGTCCATGCTCCAGCAAATATTTGCCACCATAGAATTTCATTCATTGGCACTTGACCCTGTTGGGCTAAATATTTCATTCGTGTGCTGAAGCATCTTCTTCTTACAAAAACATAAATTTCACCTTGTTTTTCATAAGTATTCATGTACTTCAAGATGACTAGTGCTATTATATGGAATTAAATCTTCAGAATCATTTCTTGTACTCTTTATGTATTCTTCAGATAAACTGCATGAAATGAACAAAAGCAGGGACCCTACATCAGTTCATCGGCATGCTGGTTCTCCGAAGCTATTCCAACTGACTTGGGTAACATGTAGTATCAGTAGTCCTACTACCAAAATTTATCAAATATGTTGGTCTAGAGCAGGCATGTCAAACTCAACTTGTACAGAGGGCCACCTCAGCCCTATAAATAATAGTCCAGGGCGCCACTTCAAAATAGAAATATACATTAGATTTTGATACAAGGAAATTTAATTCTATTTATTATTAGGAATAATTTCAATATAATTACCTAAAGTCACATATCTTAGTTTTAAAAAGCAAGAAAATGCCATTTTTGACAAGTATCAAACAGCTTTTCAATATGTAAAAAGAGAGATTACACAAGAAGTTATGTTAGAAATAGCAAAGCATTGAATTTCCTGCAGGCTGCTAATTTATGTCTGCATGAGACTTCTTTTCTTCTGGTCTGCAGGAAAACTGTCTTTACAAAAATACTTCTACTAAAATTTTAATATCAATTAGCTCTAAAAGTTGAGGGGCTGCACTTTGTACCTATGGGGGCCGCATGTTTGACACGGCTGGTCTAGAGATAATGCTCTGGACTTGTATTTAGGAGGTGCGTGGTTCAAATCTTGGTCAGGACACTAGCTATTCTGTCTTTCATGTCTGTCCTCAATCCTTCCAGGCAAATGCAGGGGTAGCAACACAATTAGGGCAGAACCCCTTCCTTCTGAATCCTTTCAAAATGATTATTCATCGGTTATCCTCCCAGCGCCCATATGGCATATCTACAAATTCCTCCATTCCAATATCACAGCTATGTGAATCATCATGTAATTCAGTTTATATATTTATTTATTTATAGTTTATTTAGTAAGGCCATTAGTAGATCAGACTAGATAGTATCCTATGATAGGATGATTAATGAATATGAATACGAATTTGAAAGCATGCAAAAGTAGTGGTCATGGCCTAATTTGAGGTACTACTCCAGAATTTGACTGCAGGAAAAGAGGAAGCCCATGAAAGACTTGTCAGGATAGCCAGTCTCTGAACCAAGATTTTAGTCCAGGCACTCCCAAATATTAAGCAGGTGGGTTATCTGCTTGGCCATGACACTGCTGTAATTTTGTTGACAACAGATAACACAGTTACAGTAAAATCCATATAAAATTGTTTTTAAGTTCATAATTGATAACCATAGTAGTTACTACAGTGAGAAACTCAACTGTGTTTCAAAGTACTATCACAGCAACCATGTGACCTCTGATGATTTCCAAAGATATTCAAAGATATGTGAACAGAAAGTTTGTATACAGACACATTACTGAGTTAAATGTCTTTCATTTTTAAGTTAGGATGGTGTTTATATTCATATTGAGCCATTTAAAAAGAAGCATGCACTACTAATTCCTCAAAATGTCTTGTTTATGTTGATTTTAATTATTCTTCCATATCTCTTTATTTTATGGAAGTCCCCGTCCATTTTGGTTTACAAATAGACAACTGTACGAACTATGACATTGTCACTTGTTACGTGCCTGGACACAGGGTTTGGGTTGGTAATTGGATTTACTGACCACTTATAAATCATAACTACAAGTAATTATAGTGATCTCACTAATATATGCACTTTACAATTCACTGTCGCACATATTAAGTCTTCTCAGTCTTCGCTAGTCGCCTGGTAACATTCTACAACATTGCACATTCCTCAGCTTCCATGTTCAACCCTTCCTGTCCTTGCTAGCTGGCAACTGTCTCGTAAATCCTCGTGGCCATAATGCCTGGCCACTGACTGCCTCCTTGATGTGTCTGGCCACCACTGGCTACCACCTGCTATCAATGGCTAGTACTGACTGAAGGCTGCCTGCAGACTGCTCTAGCTTCTGTCAGCCTGCAGTTGTTTAAATTGCTGCTGGTCTTCACCAGGTTCTCCAGCTTCCTTACATATCCACAGCATGAACCACATAGAAAACACAACCTACGTTTCCTCTATTGTTGCATGCATAACTGTTTCTGTGGCCATGTGTTGGTTACTGACGACTGCATAGCAACAAATGCTCACTTAATAGCACCATCACATGTTTACCATGCCATAACTTTGCAATGTATGTTTTTTTTGCTCCAAAATTCTGCCTTTCAGTCTGTCACAATACTTACACTTCAGTCATGAAAACTAACTTAATATAAAATAATATTATAATAAATATAGCAGTATTATGTATGAATAAAAGAGCTTTGGTTCATAATGAGAGTTCAACATGTTTTAACGCCCATGAACTTCAATTGACAGATATCAGCAGAGTAATAAAAGACCATAAAAAGAAACAGATATATCATTTGGGAAGAATGTTTGCAAACTGAACACCAAAGTTACTCTGTCAACATATGAATAGATCCCCCCACCATGGGAAGGATCAGTTGTAATCCTTGTAGAATAAGTTGAATAGGCCAACAGCTTATTTGATGATACTGGTGATGGTGGTGATGAACTTAAATTGTGGTCTTATGGGTTGTGACACTGTAGTCTTGTGGATGGTTACCGATATTGTCAAGGACCTACTGCCCCATCTTCCAGATGAAAGTGTTCTACTACAAAAATCAGGCACCAGGGAAAATTGCTCCACTTTTATAAACTATATACCAAATAACATTAATAATATCAACCATGACAATTTCACGATAAATGATACAAACTCCGTCCTAAGTGCAAACAATATATATTATATGTCCTTGATCTTGTTCTTTCTACACTACATGTTTCGGCCTCTATCGGCCATCATCAGGTGTATACTCTTAACGTTGCTGCCACACTGAACCCAGTCTAAAATTTAACATTTAAAAACACAATGTCACATTCTTCATATTATCAACATCTACAGCGTTGATATGTGTCTGGTATGTAGATTATTGCGACATGTTGACCCCTACCTCCCCAGCGGTACGTGGCGGTAACGTAACGCTCGCGTTACTACGGTAATAGGCGAGTTCCCGCCCCGCCACTCCCCTC